AAAAACACTTTGTTTCAAAGAACACTCAGAATATAAAGACAACTGTCAGAGTGCTAGAAAAATAATGTTTCCAATAATGGACTTGTACCTAGAGTATATAAAAAACTGTTACAGCTCAGTCTTAGAAAGAATGTAGACTTGTGCAACTGCATTGGAAAACAGTTTGGCAATTCCTAAAGAAATTAAACAGGGAGAGTTTTTTGACAGCAGTTTTGCTCCCAGTGATATGCCCAAGAGAAACAAAAACATGTCTGCACAAAAACTTGTACATGGATTGGATATTCTTGGCAGCATTATTCAAAACCAAAAAGTCAACCCAAATATCCACTAACATGGGTAAACAGTTGTACATTCCATACAATAGATTATTCAGCAGTAAAAAGGAACCAAAGTACTGTTACATGTTATAATATGCATGAGCCTTGAAAACATGCCAGGTGAAAGAAGCTAGACACAAAAGACCACATGTTGTATGATTTCATTCATATGAAATGTCCAGAATGGATAAATCTATAACGACGAAGTAGATTAGTGGTTAGAGTGTGATAGCTAAAGGATATGGGGTTTCTTTTCAAGGTGCTGAATATTTTCTTTAAAAAGACACATATAAATATATTAAAACAGAAAGTTAAACCAGATATAAGTGCTCAAGGAAATGCCATAGTAGGTCTGAGGTGGCAAAGGGGCATAAAAGATGGGATGTGCAATATGTATTTTCTTACCTTAAAAACTGGAGGCATATCGTTTGCCTGTTTCTTTATTTAATGGATTTATTCATAAGCATCTTGTCCTATTTAACTATTGAATCATTCTTAAATTATGGCATATTCTATACATTTTTATTGTTTGCAGCCGTACTACAGTCTATCATAGGGCACAGAAATACAATATAAAAAACATCTTTTCCTTCTAAGGAATTTGGAATATTAGTTACACAAAGCAGTACAAGAAAGTGTAAGGTATACAACCGTGACAAACTTAAATATTTGATGAAGGGAAAGTTCTGTGTAATGCTTCCAGGACAGGGGTCACAGATGACTTGTAAGGTGGTTTTTGTTATTTAAAGCTTAATTTGGAAGCTGAAATGAAGACAACTGAAGGTATAGGGCTTTATTATTTTTTTGATTATTTTGTTTGTGCCTGAATCATATAATGGTCATCTTCAAAGTCCTATAACTTTTCTCATTTAATTAATTTTTTAAAATTTTTATACAATTTTTAAAGGTTACTATCCCCTTACAGTTACTACAGAATATTGACTGTATTCCCCATGTTGTACAGTACATACTTGAGCCTGTCTTACACCCAATAGTTTGCTGTCGTTAGGTGGGATTTGTTTGTTGTTTTTTTGTTTTTAATTTAGTTGCTGTACAGTATAGCGATTCACAATTTTTAAACATTATGCTCCGTTTATACTTATTATAAAACATTGGCTATATTCCCTGTGTTGTACAATGTATTCTTATAGCTTATTTTATACCTAATAGTTTGTGCCTCTTAATCCTCTACACATATATTACCCCCTGCCTTCCCTCTTCCCACTGGTAACCTCTAGTTTGTTCTCTATATCTGTGAGTCTGCTTCTTTTTTGTTATATTCACTAGTTTGTTGTATTTGTTAGATCCATGTATAAGTTATGTCATAACAGTATTTGTCTTTCTCTGTCTGACCTATTTCTTTCTTAACTACTTTATTGGAGTATAATTGCTTTACAACGGTGTGTTAGTTTCTGCTTTATAACAAAGTGAATCAGTTATACATATGTCCCCATATCTCTTCCCTCTTGCATCTCCCTTCCTCCCACCCTCCCTATCCCACCCCTCTAGGTGGTCCCAAAGCACCGAGCTGATCTCCCTGTGCTATGCGGCTGCTTCCCACTAGCTAGCTATTTTACGTTTGGTAGTGTATATGTGTCCATGCCACTCTCTCACTTTGTCCCAGCTTACCCTTCCCCCTTCCCATATCCTCAAATCCATTCTCTAGTAGGTCTGCATCTTTATTCCCATCTTGCCCCTAGGTTCTTCTGACCTTTTTTTTTTTTTTGGCGGTACGCGGGCCTCCTCACTGTTGTGACCTCTCCCGTTGTGGAGCACAGGCTTCGGACGTGCAGGCCCAGTGGCCATGGCTTATGGGCCCAGCCGCTCCGCAGCATGTGGGATCTTCCGGGACCAGGGCACGAACCCGTGTCTCCTAAATCAGCTGGCGGACTCTCAACCACTGCGCCACCAGGAAAGCCCTGACCTTTTTTTTTTTTAGAGTCCATATATATGTGTTAGTATATGGTATTTGTTTTTCTCTTTCTAACTTACTTCACTCTGTATGACAGTCTCTAGGTCCATCCACCTCACTACAAATAATTCAGTTTCGTTCCTTTTTATGGCTGAGTAATATTCCATTGTATATATGTGCCACATCTTCTTTATCCATTCATCTGTTGATGGACATGTAGGTTGCTTCCATGACCTGGCTATTGTAAACAGAGCTGCAGTGAACATTATGGTACATGACTCTTTTTGAATTATGGTTTTCTCAGGGTATATGCCCAGTAGTGGGACTGCTGGGTCGTATGGTTCTAAAAAAAAAAAAAAATTCTCTGTAGGTTTTTAAGGTACCTCTATACTGTTCTCCATAGTGGCTGTATCAATTTAAATTCCCACCAACAGTGCAAGAGGGTTCCCTTTTCTCCACACCCTCTCCAGCATTTATTGTTCGTAAATTTTTTGATGATGGTTATTCTGACCGGTGTGAGATGATATCTCATAGTTTTGATTTGCATTTCTCTAATGATTAACGATGTTGAGCATTCTTTCATGTGTTTGTTGGGCAATCTGTATATCTTCTTTGGAGAAATGTCTGTTTAGGTCTTCTGCCCGTTTTTGGATTGGGTTGTTTGTTTTTTTTGATATTGAGCTGCATGAGTTGCTTGTATGTTTTGGAGATTAATCCTTTGTCTGTCTGACTTATTGCACTTAGCTTAAATGCCCTCATGTCCATCCATGTTGCTGCAAATGGCAAAATTTCATTCTTTTATAGCTTACTAGTATCCTGTTGTAGATACAGCACATTTTCTTTATCCATTCTTCTGTTGATGAACACTTAACATAGCTTCCATATCTTGGCAGTTGTTAAAAATGCTTCTGTGAACGTTGGGGTGCATGTACCTTTTCAAAATTGTGTGGGGTTTGGTTTGTTTGTGGGTTTGTTTTTATCTTTTGTTTTTTTTGTGGGGTTTTTTTTTGGATGTGTACCCAGGAGTGGAATTTGGGTCATATGGTAGTTCCATTTTTAGTTGTTTTTGAAATGTCCTTACTGTTTTCCACAGTGGCTACACCAATTTACATTTCCACCAACAGTATAGGAGGGTTCCCTTTTCTCCACATGCTCTCCAGCATTTATTATTTTTAGACCTTTTGATGATGGCCATTCTGACCAGTGTGAGGTGACAGATACCTCAGTTGTTTTGATTTGCATTTCTCCAATGACTAGTGATGTTGAGCATCCTTTCACGTGTTTGTTGGCCATCTGTGTGTATTCTTTGGAGAAATGTTTGTGTAGGTCTTCTGCCCATTTTTTTGATTGGGTTGTTTTTTTGATATTGAGCTGTTTGTATATTTTGGAGATGAACCCCTTGTCAGTCTCATTGTTTGGAAGTATTTTCTCCTATTCTGTAGGTTGTCTTTTTGTTTTGTTTATGGTTTCCTTTGCTATGCAAAAGCTTGTAAGTTTAATTAGGTCTCATTAGTTCATTTTTGCTTTTATTTCCTTTACTTTAGGAGATGGATCCAAAAAAATATTGCTGTGATTTATGTCAAAGCACTTTCTACTTTTCCCCTAGTTTTATAGTATCTGGTCTTACATTTAGGTCTTTAACCCATTTCGAGTTTATTTTTGGATAGGGTGTTAGAGAATGTTCTGCCCCTCTTTTGCATGTAGCTGTCCAGTTTTCCCAGCACCACTTACTAAAGGGACTGTCTTTACTCCATTGTATATTCTTGCCTCCTTTGTCATAGATTAATTGACCATAAGTGTGTGGGTTTATTTCTGGACTCTCTATGCTGTTCCATTGATCTGTGTGTCTGTTTTTGTGCCAGTACCATACAGTTTTGATTGCTGTAGCTTGGTAGTACAGTCTGAAGACATAGAGTATGATTCCTCCATCTCTGTTTTTCTTTATCAAGATTGTTTTGACTATTCAGGGTCTTTTGTGTTTCCATACAAATTTTAAAATTATTCTAGTTCTACGAAAATGCCATTGGTATTTTGATAAAGACTGCATTGAATATCTAGATTGCCTTGGGTAGTATGGTCATTTTAACAATATTGATTCTTCCAGTCCAAGAATAGGGCAGGACTTTCCTTCCCATCTGTTTGTGTTGTAGACACAGAATTTTTTTTAAGTCAAAATTGAAAGAGAGAGGAGAGGTACACCTTAAAAAGCTAATTGCTCAAAGCAGGGCGTGAATTGGGCATGGTTTGCTAGACAACAGGAAGTCAGTTTGATCTGTGTTACCACTAACTCTGGTTTTCTGGTTTTTACCTAGTGATTTAGAAGTAATTTTGGATTTTATTAGCAACTGCCTTCCGTAACACAGCATATTATCCTATACACGTTTTGGCCACTGAATGAATCTAAAACTGATTCCATAAATAATAATTTACTTCAGACTGTTTTTCCTTGAGTTAGAACTTTTGTTAATCAGTTTTTCCCCAAGTTTAACATTTCTAGTGTTTTGATGACATAATGTCTTTAAGAAGTATTGCTAAAATTAGGGTTTTCTTGAGGACATTAAAGGAAAGGCACATAGTTTACAAAAAAAAGAATTGCAGTTTTTTAGTATTCATTTGTTTCTTAGGCTCAGAACAGTATTTGAAAATAGGTCTTTCGTTGTCAGAATCCTCTTTCTAGTGGAGCTCCATCATAGACACATCTGCTATGATGTGTCTGCATTTTTTGGATAATACTGTATTTTAAAGTCTAGTTTGCACATTTGTGGTTCTAGAGAGAGACGACGACGAAGAAGCAGAAGTGGCACAAGATCTCCTAAAAAGCCTAGGTCTCCCAAAAGAAAATTGTCTCGCTCACCATCCCCTAGGAGGTAAGAATATTAATCTTTTATTAAATCTATCCTGTTTTTCAGGAACTGTACTAGAGTTTTTCTTCCTTTTCAGGAATTAAAATGCTTAAGAATGTGCTGATACACTCTCTTCATGACTTGAGGCTGTGTTATAATAAACACTGTTTAGGATTGGGCATTTTCGATCTGTAATCAAGTTATAGTCTTCTTCCCTATATTACTTATATACAGCTTGTATCCAGTGACTTGAAATTGGATCTTTGCTGTCCTCTTTATAGCAAGTGAACTTGGGTTGTCAAGTTTGCCATCTAAAACAAGTTTAAACTTACTCCTATTTAATTAATGGTGAAAGTTCTTGAGCAGTTTGTTTCAAGCATCTTGTCAGCATTTTACTGTCATCCTAGACATAAAAAGGAGAAGAAGAAAGATAAAGACAAGGAAAGAAGCAGAGATGAAAGAGAACGATCCACAAGCAAGAAGAAGAAAAGTAAAGATAAGGAAAAGGAACGGGAAAGAAAATCAGAGAGTGATAAAGATGTAAAAGTATGTTTACAAACTAATTTATTTTGGTGTTTTGGGTGATGCTGGTACTTTAAAGAAGTGATTTTCCTGTGAAGACGTTTACTTTTATTATTTTCCTTGGCAAAGCAGGTTACACGGGACTATGATGAAGAGGAGCAGGGGTATGACAGCGAGAAAGAGAAGAAAGAGGAGAAGAAACTGACAGAGCCAGCTTCTCCTAAAGCAAAAGAGTGTTCTGTGGAAAAGGGAACTGGTGACTCACTAAGAGAATCCAAAGTGAATGGCGATGATCATCATGAAGAAGACATGGATATGAGTGACTGAATATTGCCTCTGTGGGAATCCAACTGTATACGTGCATCAGTGTCATTCCTCTGTGTGATTCCTTAATGCTGTATTTGTTCATCTCAAATCTAGATGTATACAGCTCTGAGTCATAAATGGTTATAAAGCTCCTGATGTTGATATTTGTTATTTACATCCAAAAGCTTTTAGAAAAATGATACATGGGTAACCAGTTATTGACAGGTTGAAATCTGATTGAGTAAACAAGCAGTTTTACTATTCTGGTGCTGCTTCATAACAAAAATGAAAAGCTGCATGCATCTACAGCAGGCATGGATTGTTTATGTTGTATGATCTCCTTTATTAAGTTCACTTATAGTATTTCTAGAATTTGATTCATTGCCGTAATAGAGCCATGTAGGGAATGCACTGATTGCATGTTAATTGTGGCAGGAATATCCTAAATGTCATTCAAATCCTCCAACATGATGGATCTACTTATGGTCTTGTTTGTTGACATGACAAATTAACATTCTTATAGTTACATCTGGAAATGAGCATTTGAAATAGATAATCCTTTAAGCCTTGTGGCTAAATTTTTGTGGCTTTTGTTTAACTTTGAAGGGTTATATATGCACTAACCTTTTTTGATGGCTATAATTAGGCTTTAATTACAGAAACAAGATTTCAATGAAACTGTCTTTGGCAGTAAGTAAATAGCATATTTTGGAGTAGAGTTGTATACTTTTTCATAAGGTGTTTGGGAATTTTTTTTCCTAAAATAATTTATTGAACATCTACATCAGTGAAAGTTATCTGCCTATCCTGAAGTCCATCTGTAAAAGAAAGTTATCTCTTGTCCTGATTTTCAATTGTCCACTCTTTTATTAATTTGTTTTAATCTCATTGTTGGAAAAGGGGGATAGTGCATTTTAAATTGACCTTCATATGCTTTTAAAAATAAGACAGATCTACTTGATAATGTACTTTTTATTTGATCTCAAGTTGTATAAAACCAATAAATTTTGTGTTACTGTTACTGCAGTAGTAATCTTATGCACACAGTGATTCCATGTTAAATGCAAAGTAGTTAGGCAACTGTTTTCTTACAGGAGTTTCCAAGCTTCACTTTTGTGCAGTAAAAACAAAAGTAGGCTACAGTCTGTGCCATGTTGATGTACAGTTTCTGAAATTGTTTTACAAGACTTTGATAATAAAACCCTTAAACTTATGTTTATGTTCCTGTAAAACTGTATTTGTATTTATTTACGTTGTTGAATGTATGGCATTTACCTCATTCATTTTACATATCAAGTTCTTTTTCCTTTCAGTCCACATATTTTAATATAGTAGTAAGATGGAATCCATCACTGTAGTGATTAGTTGCCATTAGAATTGTCAGAATTAGTTTAATTTCTATCTAAAACAGTCTTTTTCTAAGTGTAATTTTCTTTCTTATATTTTGGGTGTAGGACTTGGGTTGAGTAAAGCAATGAACTTTAGGATAAATGATCCCACCTATATCTAGTAAATTTATATTTTTGGTGAATATAAACATACTTTTCTGGAATAGTATAGAAACTCAATGGTATGTATCTACTGTACAATACTAAATAGTATATTTATTCATTTATGAAATGAGTAGTGTTTGAGTGGCTGGGATTAAGGGGGAAATGAGCCGGAATTGTAGCTTTTATCCAAATTGGAGTATAATTTTTTTTTTTTAACTTTTAGAATTGAAATGCCGTATAGATAAGCCAGCATTGTTTTTACAGTTTGTAGTAACTTTTTAAAGATTTTATGGAAGGAAATTTTGTCTGTAGTAAGACATTCTAGTAATGGTCCTAAAAATCACTGCATTTTTAAACACGAAGTTGAACGCAAATGACATTCTTTAAACTTACAAAAAAATTTAGTAGAAAAACATTTAAAGATTGAACCATATGATATTGTCGGTTTTGTAAGTCAAAAACAAGTAAGATATTGGCGGTTTCACTTGGTTAAGCCTAATATTACTCAAATTTTATTCCCTCACTTGTAGTCTTTGAATATATAGTATGCTGATTTCTAAAAAGGGATTAAGAAATTTTGGGCTTTAAAATAGTACCACTGACTTAAGATGCTGTCGTGAAGGGAGTCTATACTTAGGTTATTTTTCAGTGAACATTTATGCACAAAGGTAGGGTTGCACGGGACAGAAGCCTTTAACACATAACCAGTCGAAATCAAGTGAACACTGCCTCCACACTGAATTTTGTTCTGTATTTGGTAGTGAAAATGATTAAAAAATAAAAGTGGTTTTGTTAGAAAAATGTTTGTGCTATTTATTTGCTTAAATTCTTCATGAGTTAATGAGGTAGTAGCTATTTCAGAGCCCAGTCATGAATTTCAGCTTCATTTACAGCTGGGGAGACCTGTGTTTCCTACCTTCATTTTCCTGTCTGTAAAATGGGAGTGATATCTACCTTGTAAAGTAGTTGGTAGAAAAAAATGTAGCCCTGTGTGCCTGGGTCAGTAAATGGTACCTGCTATTTAATTATGGAGCTTTTCAAAACTATATGAAAATTCAGTTTGGGGTAACGTTTTAGCAAAAGCACTAAGATAAATTGCGTGCAGATATGGCTATATTTCCCTTTACATTTTTGTGAATATAGGTTTTGGATAATAAGCTCCCTGGTAGTGATTCTATGTGGAAGGTAGAAGAATATTAGTTATTTAGGGAAGAAAGACAAACTGGGCTTCTACTAGAACAGTGAAAACTAATTTTACATTCACCTTGGAGTTGCATCTTAAAACTGATATTCTGCTCTTAGTGTCATATAGCCTGTACAAGCCTACTTTTCCTCTGGCAAAACAATACCACTTTCTTCACTTGGGCACCAGATTAAGTGGTCTGTGCTGTTTGAAGATCGACAGACATCTTTTAAACTGGAATTGTGATTTCTGTTCCTTTTGTCTCAAATCTAGCTAGTGCATTTCACTCCTATCTAAAATATTTTCTCTAATCAAATACATGTAGTTGTGTTTAAATATGGAAACTCTACTGATACTTTCAAAGAGCATCAGAATATGTTACTAAGTGTTTATTAGCAGAGGTAGTTTTTAAATGAGACTAATTCTGGAGTTGTTGATTTTGAGTCTGTTTTACTTAGTTTTATTTTCCCATTTTCACTTTATAATATCAAAGTATATGTAAAATTCATAAAGACATTCTTCAGCAAAATAACGTGTGAACCATGCTAATTCTTTGCTAGTGGGAATATTCTTAAGAATATACTTAAAGGTTATAGTAGGCGTTAAATATCAAGTTAAGGAAGACAAGCATCCTGTAGGTTAGCATCATGTAATTTTGTTCTTATCAATCAATCAGTCAGCATTCAATCCAGGGAGCCAAATGACCCAAAAAGATTTGTTGACAGAGATTTGACCTTAATTGTGGGAGTTGGTTTAATAGTCTCAAAGTTGTCTATGCTGTGCATCTGATGCTGAAGACTAAAGCCCACAGGCAGTCAAGAAAAGAAGGATAGTTGAGAGGGGTAAGAATAAGTTGGAACCATAAGCTGGAACCCACAAGAATGGGCTGAAACTGCAGGACCAAGCAGATAAGCCACAACGTGTATGAACTACATAATTTCTGCTTCACTTCTTCAGAATTCCTACGCTACGCATGTTCATTACTTAAACATCCCCGCCAGTCACTGTCAGCCTTCTTCAGTGACCAAGAATTCTATGGGAGGTACAGGTGCGTCTTATTTTTGTGTTTTTATACTACACAGTTTCTGCTTTAGGCTAATTATTTTCACCTGCAAAACATGAGCAAATTCAGGAATGATTGCCAAATACCTTTCTTTAAAACACAGGAAATTTCCTTCAGTTTTTTTAGGTGCTGTGGCAAAAGGAAAATTCTAATTCCATGTACCATATGTGCCATTATGGCCAGAAGTACTATTCCTAAAATGAGCTGTAACAGTTTTTTTAAAGTTCATCACTAGGTAGTACTACAAGGATAATCACATGATCTGAAAAGTGTGCTATTGGGCTTCCCTGGTGGCGCAGTGGTTGGGAGTCTGCCTGCCGATGCAGGGGACACGGGTTCGTGCCCCAGTCCAGGAAGATCCCACATACCGCAGAGCGGCTGAGCCTGCGCGTCCGGAGCCTGTGCTCCACAACAGGAGAGGCCACAACAGTGAGAGGCCCGTGTACCACAAAAAAATATATGTGTGTGTGTGTGCATGCTACTGAGATGACATTTTTAGATGGCATTCTATGACATTTTTAGATGGCATTCTAAGATACTATTGGCCCAGATTTCTGATATAAAATGCTTTACAAAAGCAGTTTTTGCTCATTCATAATATACAAAGGATGGGCTTTTACTGAGTTTAGTTTTAATGTCTTTACAAGTGATTTAATACCTCCTGTCCATTTATCTAGGTTTCACTGTCAGTTGTCTTTGAAAGTTCCCAAGTATAGCAACTTTGGTAAGGATTCATTTTGTTAATTTTGGAAAACACAGTTAAGATACCTTTTGCTGGAGTTAAGCACAGGCATAGTGTGTCCATACTAAGTAATTTGCTCAGTTTCAGAGGCTAGCATACTACAAGTAGGACTTTGAACTCACCCCGTTTTCTACAACTTTTTCTCAACCATATTGTGACAAATAAAAGTTAAGAGCAAAAGCAACTCAGTATTTTCTTTAGTCCTTTTGTGGCCTCGAAACAAGCTCTTTGTCTGCTTTAGGCTTAGTGAAAACTAGGGAGAAATTTCACTTAAGCACTCATTATTCACCACCCTTCCCCAAGATGTGAATGATAAGCTGTGCATGAATAACACTATGAAAACACATTTTTATTAGTGTGAGTGGGGCTCAATACCAGTTCTAAACAGCAGAAAAACTGAATAGTTTTTTCAGCTTCTGTTGGCTATCAGCTTCTCTGAAATGTGTTTGTGTCTAGACAATTGTATGTAGCTATACTCACAATAATCAGAGCATCAGCTTTATGCCTCCCTTTTTATGAAGCTTGATAATTTTCTGTACATGAATGTCTAGACAGGCAAACTGTCTCTAGGGAATTTTCTTAAAGAATCCTATATTCTTTTGAAACCATACTGGTGGCAGGATATACTGAACATTTCTAAATGGCCATTTAAGGTAACCATTTTATAGCCCCCCAATTTTAAACAATTTTTTCAGTCACAAATGGAAGGCAAAGAGAATTTTATGAACCTACATTACAAAATCTAGATTACCACGTAAGAGTATCAAAATATATAGCGTTTTTATCTACTTACTTGAAACACGGCATATAGCTTCATTCATTAGCTGGATTAAAAGGCACATTTTGAAAAGTCTAATACTGTGAAAAGTTTATTTGCATTAAATAACTCCTATTTTTACCATCATAAGAGATACTGACATTTGCTTGTCCTTTGTGATCAGATAAAAGACATTTTGGAATGGATAATCTGTACTATTCTTTATGAAAGAAAAAGTTAAAAACAAAATTCAAGTGCAAAAGTTTTCAGTAGTCTTCCTACCTCCAGTGTATCCCAGCAAAACAGTCACAGCTTTTAGGAAATTGATAAATCCCAAGCTGCAATTTACCATGTTTTTTCCCCAATGAATTACAAAAAAAGTCTGCAGTATATTCTTGAAAGTATACCATATTCCCACAAAGCAAGGGAGCCTAAAAGCAACAGTGATCATTGCCTTTCAGTATCTCAAACCTCATATAATCAGTGACAGGATCATAGAATCTCTAAGTCCAACAAACATTCCCAAAATAATAGGGATCAACTTCTATTTAACAAAACTAGTCTCGGTTTACCCACCCTTTCCACAAAATTCAACAGACCCACGTAAGGTAGAAACTGGTCTTTGAATTTTTAACTATGATTATTTTTCTCCATTATAAAATGTATTTAATAAAATGTCAACATATGCAATGTAGTATGTACCAGCATGGAAGATGCAGCTTTAAAGATGTTTATTACAAAATTTTTCTTATGGTTGATGCTTCGGATTTTTAAGCCATCTCTTCAATAAAGGTCTCTAAACTCATTCAAATTATTTAAAATCCTGAAAAAAGTTACTGGTCACTCTAAAAAACTTGACAGATGCATTCTGACACATTTTTCAAGATACATTTAAAAAACATTTCCTTAGCTAAGCTCTTTAATACAACATAACATTTTATGACTGTTATACATTATTCTCCCTAATTTATTGTCATTGTTGGACCTTCAAACCATCTTGGAATAAGTATGAAAAATTTTTATGTGCAAAAATGAATAATGCATGATTTTAACACTTTGGAGATAATTAAAATCAATAAATATTTTCTTGTGACTTACTTAAAAAAATAAACAGTAGGAATTGTCAATCTTGTGTATGTTTCTGGAATTTAACTTGTAACAAATATATTCTATTAGCATATAAAATGTTTTTACCTTATTTTGAAAGCATTAAATATGTAGGGATGCCCAAAATATGTGGATTGTTTTTAAAACTGACACAAATGCATCCATATTCCACTAAAAACAAAATAATCAGAATGATGTGCACTTATTAGGAAGCAAGTTTAAAAATTTGGAATTTTTTTAAAGTGCTCAGATTTGGAAGAAGAATATCTTTAAGCATGCTCATCATGAACACAAAAAGGACTTTTAAACTCAAGTTTAGAAAAAAAAAAAGTTTCTATGAAAGGAAGATTATTAACAAACATTTTCCATTGAAGAAAGAATTCAGGTAAAAACAAATAGCACCACAATGAATTGCACTAAGGTGCTAAAGGAGGTACCTTATTCCCTGCAGAGAGAATGCTCCTTCTGAAGTGTATTGCAACATATAAATGCAATTGTTTAATGGTTACCATTTGGTTCATTCAGCTACAGAAAACTGCATTCCTTCTAGTTCATTATATTGAACAAACATTCAAATTACTGAACTATACATAATGTTACATACTTTACATTTTATGAAAACAAAGCTTGAAGGAATATTTATAAAGGTCACCTTGAATATAAGATGACAAGTTTAAAAGGGCTTCATATCTCTTAAGACATTTAATTTATGTTAATGGTCCAGGAGTGTTTTAGATATAGATATAGATATATTTATATGCATATATATTTCAACAAGAAGTGTAAAAATTTTTAAAAACAAATCACAGCACTCATAGCTGTTTTACATAAGAAGGACTTGGGGTCATTAAGCTGTCAAACTATTACACTTATAATATGTATATTTTTAAAAAGACTGAAAATGGCACATCAGGAAACTTGCTGGAATTCTTATTAGAGGCCCATTTCATTATATCATATCACTGATGTGTCGATCCAACATAATTCCCTTTTCTTCAATGAAAACATTTGTCCCTTCTATTTGAATTCACTTCTGGGGTCTCTGCATTCTCTAGCTTTCCTTGGTTGAATGGCATCATTTTCTGTGTCAGTTAAAGATCAGGAAAACGGCTTGGGTCTTCCTTGTAGTCTTCAGGTATGGTAAAAATGGAGCCATCAAATTCATCATATCGAAACTCCTGAAAAGTCACAGTGGCTGTGATCGTAGGAAACACGGGTATATCTAGAGAGGACAATCAATGATAACACTGTAAAATGAAATGGTAACCTATTTATAGACTATGAAATACTATTAGAGATATCTATACTCCTTAAAATGTAAAAAAGTGTTATTCAAGGACCAGACAAATCCTAATATACATCTAATATTGAGTATGGGTGTTTGCAGGAAGAGTTTGGCTACTTGTGAGGAGAGACAGACACCAAAGCATCAAGAATTACATCAAAAACTCAAGGTCCCACTGCTTCCCAGTCATAGCACTATGATGGCAGATTCCACTAGACTATTTTTTCTTGGGGCAAAGGGATGGCTACATTTGTACTTTTTGCATTCTGATATCTTTTCTTCAGATTGTAGTGTATATACTCTGAATCTGAGCTGATTTTTTTTTTTCATTTAATAAAAATGAAATACATTCATCCTTTTTTGTTTTAAAACACTAAAAAACAATCCATCACTTTAATATATGGTATAAAAATAATCTCATCAGAATTGGAGTAATATCATACCAAAACAGCCTAATATTCTTCTAAATAAAATACATTTCTAGCTGAAATTATGAGTGAAATGTGACATCAAAAATGGCCAAATACTTTAATCACTCTGCAGTTTTATTCCTAATACGATTTACTGGAAAGAACACAAATTATAAAACCTAGATTCTGATTCCTACAAATCATTTAATTTATGAGGCTCAAGGATTTCATCTACAAAATAAACTCTAAAGGTTACTTAAAACTCTAAATGATTCTGTGAAAGCTAAGTTGAATGCCTAGGATAAAGGCATGCCATAAACTAAGGCTGACTGTTACAAGCCTAGTATTCTATTGCAGAAAGTAATATTCTCATTTAAAAAAAAAAAAAAAAACTTAAAGAAATCAACATAAGGATTACAGAGTTTCCAGTTATTTCTGGTGGAAAAGATCATTCATTTGTGCTTATTAAGTAAAGATGCTGTTCTAATTCAGAGGTCAGCGAACTAAGTAAGGCCTGTTGCCTGGCCTTTTTTTGTAAGGCCTGTGGGCTAAGAAAACATTTTACATAATTTAGTAGTTTTTTAAAAAACACAAAGAATAATGTTTCACGCAGATAAAATTACATGAAATTCAAACTTCACTGTCCAGAGTAAAGTTTTATTGGAATATGTGGTTTACTTATTCTCTATGGCTGTTTTCATTCTCCAACAAGAGTTGAATAGTTGTGACAGAAACCATATGGCCTGTAAAGTCTAAAATATTTACTATCTTTCAGAAGAAGTTTGATGACCTTGATGACCCCTGTTCTAGGCATTGGATATACACCAGGAAACAGTAGAAAACAAATCATGCATTTATGGAGATTACATTCTGGTTGGGAGATACAAACCACAAATAGGTAAAAAATAATTGTGACTAAGTATGTAGGCAAAAATAAAGCAAGTAGGGGGATAGGGAGTTTCAGTGTTGAGGGTAAGAGTTCTTGATTAGGGTTCAAAGGAAAACCTCAATAAAGTGGCCTTTCAGCAAACACCTGAGATAACTACACAGTTGCCTAGAGGAAGGAAATTCCAAGTAGAGGGAATAAGTAAAAAAGCCCTAAAATGAAAGTGTATGGTTTATTCTGGGAACAGCTAGGAGACCAGTGTGGCTACAGCCAAATGAGTACGGGAAAGATTAGCAGAAGATGAGGTTTGAGAAGATATAGGCAGCCAGATCAAGCGGGGTTTAGGTCAAGAAAAAGTCGGCGGCTTCTACTCTGGATGAGATGGAAAGCCAGTGGATGGTTGTGAGCATAGCAGTAACATGTTCTGGCTTAAGTTTAGGCAGATGTAATGAGAATATAATGTAGGGTGACAAAAGTAATAGGAGGGATGTGCTCCAGAAGGAGCAGTCAGAGAGGCAGGAAGAAGATCAAGAGAGAACTCTATCCAAAAAGTGGGAGGAAATCTGAAGAGAAACTACCAGCTTTCACTGGGACAAGGACTCCACAAAAAGAATGAAATCTTGAGAGGTTAAGTCAGATAACAGAAAAGTGTCCAGCAGACTTAACGGTATGAACATCAATAACAAACACAGAGTGGAAGAGATGAAGAGAATCTGCACCGAGCAGCTGGGTTATTTCTAGCTTGAGGCTATTACAAACTTATTTTTGTATACAGGTTTTTGTGTGAACATATCTTTATTTTTCTGGGATAAATGCCTAGGAGTGCAACTGACTGATCCCATGGAAGTTGGGTGGTTAGTTGTTTGTTTGTTTTTTAAGAAATGGCTAAAACGTGTTCCAGGGTGGCTGTACCATGTTACATAACCACCAGCAATGTATGAGCAATCCAGTTTTTCCACATCTGCACAAACATTTGGAGTTGTCACCATGTTTTATTTTAGCCATTCTGTTAGGTGTATATAATGATATCTCACTGTGGTTTTAATTTGCACTTCCCTAATGGCTAATGATTCTCAACACTGTTTTTGTGCTTATTTTCCATTTATATATCCTCTTATGTGAAATGTCTTTTTGTGTCTTTTGCTCTTTTCTAACTGGCTTGTTTATTTTGTTACTGATGAGTTTTAAGCATTCTTGTGGTTTTTTTACTCTTAACTGGGTCTTTCACAGAGCAGAGCTTTTTTACTTTTGAAGAAGTCCAATTCATTGATTTTTTTTCTCTTATGGGTCATGCTGTGGTGTGAAGTCTAAGAACTCTTTGCTTAAACCTAGATCCCTAAGCATTTCTTCTACATTTATTTCCTAAGTTTTATTGTTTTATTTTACTTTTAAATTTAAGTCTATGATTCATTTTCAGTTAATTCTTGTGTAAGCTGTAGGATTAAGGTGGAGTTTCATTTTTTTACCTTTGCATGTCTAATTGCTCCAGCATCATTTGTTGAAAAGGCTATCTTTCCTCCACTGAACTACTTTTGTACCTTTATCAAAAATAAGTTGAGCATATTTATAAGGATCTATGTTTGAATTCTCTTTTCTTATGTTGACTTAGATGTTTATATCTCAACCAATACCATACAGTCTTGATTACTATAGCTATACAGTAAATATTGAAATGGAGTAGACTGATTACTCACACTCATTCTTTTTCAAAGTTGTTTTGGCTCTTGTTCTGAGTCAAATTCTTTCCCCTCCAAAAAGATCTATTCCAGTCCTAACCCCCAGAACCTAAGAATGTGACTGTTTTTTGAGACAGGGTCTTTGCAGAAGTAATCAAATTAAGAATCATTAGAGTGGTCCCTAACCCAATGGCTAGTGTCCTTACAAAAAGGGGAAATTCGAAGACATACGTACAGGAAAAGGACACCATGTGAAGATGAAGGCAAAGATTGTGGAGTGATGCTTCTACAAGCCAAAAAACATCACCAGAAGTTAGAGGAGGGCCATGAAACAGATTTCTTCTCATAGCCTGCAGAAGGAGCTAACCCAGCTGACACCCTGATCTCAGATTTCTAATCTCCAGAACTGAGACAATAAATTTCTATTGTTTAAGCCACTCACAGTTTGTGGTATTCTGTTATGAAGCCCTCGAAAATATAGATATTCTAGTTTCTTTGCCATCCCATGTAAATTTTAAAATAATCTTTTCTCAATCTACAAAAAAAATATGGCTGGGATTGTGATAAGAATTGTGTTAAACCCATGTATCTCTTTGGGAAGAATTAACATCTTTCCTATGTTGAATCTTCCAATCCATGCGCATCGTATGTCTCTACTTTTGTTTAGATCTTCTTTTATCTCTTTCATCAGTGTTGTATAATTTTCTGCATACAAGTACTGTAAATGTTTTGTTAAATTTACATCTATTTCCTTTTTTTTGCAATCATAAAAAATATTTAGTTTTGGTGTCAGTGTGTTCAATGCTAATATACAGAAATATTACTGATTCTTGTATGTTTAACTTTTATCCTGCCATCTTGCAGAATGCATTAACTCTAGTTTGTTTCTAGAACCTTTGGGATTCAACTCATAGAATCGTGTCATTTGCAAATAGAGAAGATTTTATTTCTTCCTTTTTCTACTCTGAATGCCTTTTTTTTCCCTTTCATTCATTATTACACTTACTATCCCCTTTTGATTTCTGCAGGATCTGTCATGCTATCCTGTTTCATTCTCTGTTTTTTATCTGTCTTGTTACAGATGTGTTGATTTTATCACTCTTTTCAAAGGACCAGCTCTTTGCATCACTGACTTTCTCTATTTATTCTGTTTTCTCTTTCATTTATTTCTACTCTTTATTATTTCCTTCCTTCTGCTTGCTTTGGGTTTATATGTTCTTCTAACTTCTTGAAGTAGGAGCTTAGATTATTGATTTAAGACTTCTCTTTTCGTAATGTATGCATTTAGTGCTATGAATTTCCCTCTCAGCATGACTTTAGCTATATTATACAAATTTTGATATTTGTAATTTTACTTTCATCCAGCTCAATATATTATTTTCCCTTGAGATTTCACCATTGACCTATAAATTATTTAGAAGAGTGCATAACAAAATATCACAAACTGGAGAGTCTCGTTATCTTTCTATTATTAATTTCTAGTTGGATTCTACTGTGATTGTTTTTCAATTATTAAGGTTTGTTTTATAGCCCAGGATATGGCCTATCTTGGTATATGTTCCATGAGTACTTGAAAAATATGTGTATTCTGCTGATGTTGGGTAAACTGTTCTATAAATGCCAATTAGGTGCTTTGGTTTATGGTGTTGTAGAGATGTTCTATAATATCCTTGCTGATTTTCGTTCAAGTTGTTGTATCATCTGTTGAGAGAAGGGTGCTGAAGACTCTCACTATAATTGAAAATCTATTTTTCCTTTCATTTCTTTCAGATTTTGCTTCACTTATCCTGCAGCTCTGTTGTTTGGTATACACATTTAAGATTGCTATTCTTCTTCATGGATTGACTCCTTTATCATTATATAATGCCCCCCCGCACCCCAGTAGTTTTCTTTGCTCTGAAATCTACTTTATCTAATATTAATATAGCTAGTCCTGTTATCATCTGATTAATGTTTGCATGATATATCTTTTTCCATCCTTTCACTTTCAACTTGCCAATATCATATTTGAAGGGTTTCTTGAAGATAGCATGTAGTAGAGTCATGTTTCTTTAATCTGTTTTTCCAATCTATATCTTTTAAATGTTTTATTTAGACTATTTATACTTAATGGAATTATTTATATACTTAAGACTTAAGTCTGCTGTTTCATTTTTTGTTTTTTTGCTTGTTGTCTTTTTTCATATATTTTTCTTTTTCTTGCCTTCCTGTAGGTTACATGACTACTATTTATTTATTTATTTATTTATTTATTTATTTATTTATTTATTTATTTATTTGGCTGCACCACACAGCATGTGGAACGTCCCTAACCAGGGATCAAACCTGTGCCCCCTGCAGTGGAAGCGCAGAGTGTTAACCACCGGACCACCAGGGAAGTCCCAACATGACTACTTTTTAGAATTTTATTTTTATTTATCTATAGTGTTTTTGAGTATATCTCTTTGTACACCTTCTTTAGTGGTTGCTCTAGGTATACATTATATATAACTAATTTATCATAGGCCCCTGGTGTCATCACTTTAGCAATTCAAGTGAAGTAGAAAAATTTTACCTCTCTTTATCTCCTTTCACCTTCCCCCATTTATAATATAACTATAAATAGAAAGAAAGAATGGAGAGATAAAAGTAGACTTTCAAGCAACTTGGCTATGAAAAGCAAAGATTAAAGGCAAGTGCTGGGTAGGGTGGAGCTAAAGGGATTGTTTCATTAGATTGGTTGAATTTTATTTCTGAAGTTTGGCCATCTTCCCCTCACCTCCCTGTGCCTGACTTTTCTTTTTTTGGGCCATACCGTGCAGCTTGAAGGATCTCAGTTCCCCAACCAGGGACTGAACCCGGGCCACGGCAGTGAAAGCCCACAATCCTAACCACTAGGCCCCAAGGAACTCCATAGATCGGCTGAATTTTAAAAAGAGAAAGACCTTTAATTGGTTTAACTTTAAAAGGAGAAAGACCTGAACAAAGCCTAACGGCTAAGAAGAAAAAGGCTGTACAGGAGTTGGAAGATAAAGGAGAAATATGGGGAAACTGATAGAGCAAGCTTTTTAAAAAAGCAGGGAGGAGAACAGATCCACAGTACAAATGAAGAGAATAATCAAGCTAAGAAAAGGGACACCACTTCTACTGAGATAGAAAAGATGGAGGAAAAGATAGGGCTTGGGGCAGAAAAGTCTGTGTGAGAAGTTGGGAGTAATGAGGGAGGTCTCATTTCTGATGGCCTTTTTTTGTAACTAAGAAAACAAAATTCATCTGCTTAGACTGTGGGAGGAAGTAGTGGGGGGTGGGGATGGGGACTGTTGAAGGAGGTTCAAATTTAACCTTTGAAAGCAGAATGAGGGAAGCAGCAAATCAGAGAAAAGATCATTCAAAATCAGCATTTAAAGCTCTGGCTGCTTTTGAAAACATGTAATTGTGTTAACAATACCCAAATTTTTCCCCTCAATTGTACCTTCTAGCCTAAATATAGAAACAGAAATGACTGAAGATTAAACTGACGTAGGACTGGAGTTTTATATGGTCATTTTGAAAGAAGGACAAAGAGACAAGAGAGACAGAGGTAAGCAAATTCCCAATAAGTATACAAGCAAAAAATTATAAATCCCTTGTTAATATGGCTCTATATCAGAGAAATGCCTGCAAAAAAGTATTGTAGATTTTTTTCCTTTCTATATAAAGTATTTCTTTTTCATAAAAAAAACTTGTATTGTGAGGTTTGATTTGTGCTTGGGACTTTAAAAAATGTGAATACAGTAATAGTTTCATATATTTAATCCCTACCCTCTATTCTAGTTTGTCACTGTGCCCCTTAAATACAGTATATAGAAGAGAGTCCAATGCTTGAAGTATTTTCTGGCTACAGACAATTACAGTGGGATTTGAAGCTTCTGCAGAAATACTCATGTAATGATCCACAGCTCAAACTCTCAGCTTTAGTTTTCTAACAGTTTCTGCCTAGAATCTTATCACTGGTTTACTCAAGTAGACACTGGGTTCCCAGTGCTTTTACATCACAAAGGGAATCTGGAATGACATAGTTAGAACATGTTTTAAAATCAATTTTAATTCACAAAATGTATTCCCAAATTTGGAAAGTTGAGAAGGTCGAGTTTAATTTTAGCAATAAAAGCATTACTTCTGGGATTAAAGCATTTTGGCCTAATTATTCTGAGATGTGGTTTCAGTAATATTGAGTAAAACAAGATAAAATATATCAGAGGAATTATATAAAAATTATATTATTATATAATATCCCCCTACCCCATACATAATGTAAACACCAAAAGGGCAGGGGCTTTTTGCTGTCTCTCATCCCCCCCATAGAAAAGGGTCCAGTACACAGCAGGCACTGATTAAATATTTGGAGGCTGGATCAGTGGATGGTATTGAAGGCCCTCCTGGAGATTAAATCACTGCTAAATCTAAACCTCAACTCCTAAAGAACCTGTAAATAGTGTCTTGCTCCCAGTTTTCTAATACAGTTAAGAAGATAAATATATACGAAAATGAAAGTTTACTGTTTTGAAAGATCATTGTTTAAAATGAAATTAAGTTTACACATTTAAGACTGAAAAATAAAATGTAAGGAGTATTACTGTATCCCTGAATAATGACTGTTGACAACAGAAACATTCCCACTATTCAGAAACTCAAAGTCTGCTGAAAATTTGGGCTAAAATCCAGTCTCCCTATATTTCATATTAAAACATTATCACAGTGCATCATAAGTTCACCCACACCCTCTTGAATGAAATATTTGCATATCCCTTACATTTGACTTAAGTAGAATTAGAGTTTTCATCAGGAACTTTATATATTTGACAAAACATGAATATCAATGCATGTAATTACAGAAAAACCATATAAAAATTTAAACTAGGAAATCCATTTTCCTTCAAAGCATATTTCTTCTTCTTAAATGTTAGTAAACAGCTCCATATTTCTAACAAACACTGAACTTACATGAAAATTTTTCTCTTACCTAGTTTTACAGGAAAGCCTGGAGGAAGCTTCATCTGAACAAATTCTCTAAGCTTATTAAAGTGCTTGAAGGGAGCTATTACTTCCAAAACATTCAATAATCTGAAAAATGGAAGGAGAAAAACATTTTTCAAATTGATTTCATTGTGTCTTTATGTTGTTTTATAACTACATGCTTCAAACTTACACAGTATTACTGACTTCCAGATATTAAAGATGAGAAAATGACACCTCCTTCCACCTCCTGTTTTTTTGTTTTATTATTCTTTTCACTGTGTCAAAGTTTATAACTTTCACATTTTATTGGGCAGCCATAATTCCCACAGTTGTTGATTTCAGATCTATATTTCAGCAGATTCAAGGCTTACACTAGTCTTCTTCCTGAAGTCTACAAATTCCCAAGTTCTTTAATTAGCCTCACTGTTTGGACGCCTGAATTTCACTGTCAATTTTGTGTGTGTGAAGGGCTCTTACGTACTTATTATTCCTTGATTTCTTATAGATTTGATAACTGAGTGTTTCTTTTTTACATACTAAAGAGAAATCCAACTGGCATAAAATTTCAGTTTATAATCCTTCCCTCTTAACTACAATTTCATGAGGTCTCTTAACTTCTTTTATCCTTTGGTTGGATGAATTTCATTTTCAAGTAGTAGTATTTTTCTTTCAAAAAAGGCCCATGGCTGCTATATTTATTGAATTCTTCTGTGTCCTTTTCAATTGCCTTGATATGTAAATGACATCTTACCTAGATATACTATCAGATCACACTTTCTTTGCCTCAGCAATATCAAGATGTAAAAAAAACGTAAGGCCAGGCTGTTTTTTACCCTTTCACCTGAATGCCTTTAGAACTCTCTATTAACAATTGAAATACAATAGTTTAACCAATATAATAATTGTTACTAATCCTTCTCTATCAATTTTTCTTGGAGCCTAATGTTAGGCTACAGAATTAGTTCTTCCATGCAGAGAAATTTTCTTCTATCATATTTTGAATACTATTTTGTTTACATTTTGGAGGCTTTCTATTAAAATGGAACAGCAATGATCCTTATATTGAACCACTCTCCTCCATAAATATTACTTCTCAAATTTCTTTAACCTCTTCTTTCACTGGATTCACTATAAGCTATAAAAATTTAATTTTTGGTCACATCTATCCTGTTCATTGTTGTTTCTACTGTATTTGTTTTGCAATAGTGCTATTCAGTGCTTAATTTATTTCCTTAGCTTTACAATCTCCTTTTCATTTCATTCTGTTGTCTTATCATCTCATCTTAGAGTGATCTAGTTTACCAATTTCATGTTCTTTTTATGTTTTCCTATAGTACTTACAAGAAATTTTCTTCTGTTCTTTGACTTATATTTTATTCTAGAATGAGTTCTTTTTCTGGCTTTTACATACTATCTATATTCCTTATTTTACTTTTTGCAGGGGGAATGGCTATAATTCCACATTTTATAAATTCTAAAATACCCATTTTTTTTCACATATTAACATCTCTGAAATTGGGATAACTCCTAAAATTGAGAGCATCTTGTAATTTGCCACATTATTCTTCTTCATTAGAGTATATATCTGGTGCATCTTGGAGTCATTTGGGTCCAAGATATGATAAATTATGCAGATTTGTATGTATGGCTAATTCCCTTCCCGCATCTTCTGAGAACTATTTATTTCCCTCTTTGATCAATAACTTGAGGACTGTATACCAAATTCTATCTACTCTTCCAAAGCCTGGCTATTGAGGAGTATGAGATGTGCACAGAATTTGTAGAAAAGAAGGGTCCTGCTCTCTTCCGTGAGAATTTTTTTTTTTAATGTAATAGCCCAGACTGAAAGTGGAAGGATCTACAAAGGAAAGCCTAGGACTTCAATTCATCCCCTACTTTAGTGAGAAGCCTAAAGGTACAATTCTGTCAGAATCGGCTCTAGCTACCCACCTCACATTCCATCCATCTCTCCAAATCAATTTTTTTTAATGAGCATCTGATGAATACAGGTTTGGAAGGATATACTCAAGTACTCCAGGAGTACTGTTTATAAGGGTGACAAACTACAAATAATTAAAATGTTTATCAGTAGGGGGATGATAAAATAAATGGCAGTATATCAATACTACAATATATCAAGGAAAGAAGAAAAAGATAGATAATAATGTACTTATTGTAAGAACTCCATGATAACTCACTTTTAAAAGAAAAAAAGGAACTAACAGAACAAATTGTAGACTGTTCCCCCATTTTTATAAAAAATTCTAAAAAAACACAGAAAAAATCTAGACAAAAATACAGCAGTTATTTACCTGAGGTGAAAGAAAACTGCCATTTTTATTCTATAAACTTCCCAACTGTTACTTTTTACAATAAGCATGTATTCATGTATTACTTTTGTAATTAAGAAATAATTATTCAAAAATTTATCTGGTTAAAATAATTAAAATGTTAATATTTTGTGAGCTGGAAAATTTCTAGAAGGGAGCACGACACACTGTCAAAGCAATGGCTGTTTGCTTTTACATTTCAAAGGCCTCAAATGCACCACTCAGATGCCAACATTATTATAGCATTTAGAGTTCAATAGCTTCTTTCATAAACTTGTGCAGTTAATAACAAACTTACGACTCAATTCCCAAGGGAAATTCCTGGCTCATGGCTATTGTGGCTTTAAACGTTTTCTTACTCTCTTTGCACACCAGTTCTCTACCCAGATGAGGAGCTCTAAAATGAAAAAGGAAAAAAGAAAGAAAGAAAGAAAGAAAGAAAATATTAGGAAATTTTTTCCACATGCTGTCATCTTCCCAAGAAGAATCTGTCATCTTCCAATGACATTCATTAGTATTTCAACTTTTCTTACTCTGATAGAAATAAAATTATGCTAAAAGGGAATGAAACGTATAATAAATGAGGCAAGGGTAACAAGAAAAAGAAAATAGCAAAGCATAAAAGTTCAGAAGAATATGATCAAAACCCAGAAAATTTCATATTGAATTTTAATAATCACTATTTTTAATAACAAAGCAAATCCATAGGAAAAAACAACCTTTAAAAATATTTTGTATCTTTTAAATCACTTATTCAATTCAACCTCTTACTGTCTATGGTTCTCAGCACTGATCAATAAGAAGTGATATAAAGAATACAGAATTTTACATTACTTGTAGAATATTATAAGATGGAAACATTTTAGAGAAGTTAGAAAAAGTATAACAATAAACCTTTCAACATAAAAAAAAAAAAAGACAACTTCTTACTAAGCATGAGGGTAGGTAATATTTTATTCTCCACCAAAAGAATATTTTCTACAAAGGACTGTATTTTCTTTGACATGGGCAGCCAGAAAAAAATTCTTATTTATTTATTCATTCAAAATAAACCATTCATTCATCATTCTTTTATTCAATAAGTACTTACTGGATACAAAAACTATGTAATAGGTACTCTACTAAGTATTAGCAATATAACATTAAGCAAACATCTTGGGTAAGCATAGTAAGAAGTAGTCTGGCACAGGCTGAAACAAAGAGATCATGACAGGAGATGAGCTTGGAAAGGCAAAAAGTAGATAAACAATGAGTAGCCTTACATACCTTGCAAAAGACTCTGGATAATAACAGAATATAAAGTTCATCATACAGTGTAAAAACTCAAATAAGCAACTGTATTGGGCAAGTCCTCATATTTCCTTAGAACAATGTCCTATAGGTTTTTTGGTGTATATAAATTGGCAAGAGGGATGTAAAAAGAAGGCTCTACAACTTATTCAAAAAGAAAATGTAACTGGGGATGCTTCTCCCTCATCATGCTTCATCCATATATATATATATATTTTTTTGTGGTACGCGGGCCTCTCACTGTTGTGGCCTCTCCCGTTGCAGAGCACAGGCTCCGGACGCGCAGGCTCAGCGGCCATGGCTCACGGGCCCAGCCGCTCCGCGGCATGTGGGATCTTTCCGGACTGGGGCACAAACCTGTGTCCCCTGCATCAGCAGGCGGACTCTCAACCACTGTGCCACCAGGGAAGCCCCTTCATCCACATTTTTAAAAGGAAAAAGAACTGCTTCAGATGAAACTATACTAGTGATTCTCTGTAAAAAAAATTTTATGCCTAAATATTCATGTTTTTACAAATTTTTCTAAAAACCAAAGAATATATAAACAAAACAACACTTACTTTCCATTTTCAGAAGATATATATTCTTCCCATGTAATAGTGTTCTGAGGAGGAGGGGTAAGGGACTGTCTTCGAATTGGCTGCCCAAAAATAACAAACAGAGAGGGGGAGAGAGAGAGAAAGAAAGAGAGATACAGAGACAGAGACAAAGAGGGAGGGAGAAAAGAACATTATATTTTTTAAAATATAAAATTAAAACATACAATAAACTATAATCTACTTAATCTCTTCAATATAATGCTTTAAGAGGTTATTCTGAGATACTTCCATGGTGATGTAAGGTCCAATAATATTTATTATCATTTCTTAAACCTCAAATAAAAAGAAAAGTGTCAAAGTAGTAAAATCCATTCATTCAATGTCTATTTTTTTGTTTTTGTTTTGTTTTGTTTTTAATTTATTTATTTTTGGCTGTGTTGGGTCTTCATTGCTGTGCATGGGCTTTCTCTAGTTGCAGCGAGCAGGGGCTACTCTTCATTGCGGTGCGCGGGCTCTCACCACGGTGGCTTCTCTTGTTGTGGAGCATGGCCTGTGTCCCCTGCATTGTCAGGCGGATTCTTAACCACTGCACCACCAGGGAAGCCCCATTCGATGTTTTAATCATCTAAAATGTCCTTGGCATTATGCTAGATGCTGAACGTGGGAACTACAGAGAAGTATAAAAACTAATCCTGACTTCACAGAGTTTACAATTCAAAGTTGGAAAGAAAAAACACATACAAACATGAATAGCTAATCAGGAATACAAAGTATTAAATGATTAAAGATCAAATGAGCTTACAAAAAACTGAGTAATACAGGGGTTCAGAAAAGAGAGCAGTTTTCTATAGACAATAAATCGAGACTAGGGGATTGAGGCTCAAATTTAAATGAAAAGAAAATAAAAAGAATATTTTGGACAGAGAGAATTAACAGTGAAAACACTAGATTGATTTGAACTAGGGAGGAAAGTTCAAAAGGGAGATCAACAACAGTGGTAAAGGTCATATCAGATTTAAAACTTACACCTCATCTTTGTTAACTAAGAGCTTGGATCACAATAGGATGAATTGGCAATAAAGAACTAAGGGAGTGGCAGTAGAAATCGAAAATTGCTAAGGAAAAACCACAAACTGTAGAGCAAAAGGGCAATAAGTGAAAGACACATAAATAACAAAATGAACAGTAACACTGGGAGAGGATTCCATTCAGAGAAGTATAGTTTCGGATATAATGAGTTTAAGATGTTAATAGGCAGCATATTAGAGTTGTTAAAATCAAGGATTTTGAAGACACAAAAATGAACTGGAATCCCACCCAGCTCCACTACCTGGTAGTTGTGTGAATTGGGGCATGTTATTTATATTATTGTCCATTTAATTCACCTTCAAAATGGGAATATGACCACCCAACTCATAGTTAAGAATTCAAGGAGACAGTGTATGGAAAATCTTAGTGCCTAGCACAGTATAAAGGATTCAGTAAATAATAGTAACTATTTTATACTTGGAAGTTCCTAGAGGGCAGTTACAAAAAGAAAAGGAGAGAAATCATATTTAGAGATAATGGTTTAAGAATTCTCTGACTAACTAAATGAAAAGTAATAAAACAGAGGACTAATGACTGAGTCCTAAAAACTACACAGATTTGCCAGGGGGGAGGGCGGAGAGGACAGAAGGGAGCCAGATATTAATCAATAAGGGAAAAGAAAAAAACATAGCATCAAGTATCATGACAAGATACAAGACAAGTATCAAGTATCATGACAAGATGCAAGACAAGTATCATGGAAGTGAAAAGGCTGTTTCAATATCATGACAAAGACTTTAAAGGGAAAGAAGCCTGAAAAAAAGGCCACAGATTTTGTTGGTTAGAAATCATTGATGATCTCTGAGTAGCAACAGAAGAATAGGGGAAGAAGGGAAACTAACAGTTTTTGAGCATCAGGCAATATGAAAGATGACGTTCTGCCCTTGAGAAGTTTACAAAGAGACACACAGGAAGTAGATAATTATAATCCAGGATGGGTGTGCTATGATAGAGGGATCAAGAGGATGGCATAAAAGCACTGAGAAGAGGTTTCTCTGACCCAGATTGGGGTAGCCAAAAAGATGTGCCAGCAATGGTGGTTCCTGGTGGAGAAGTCTAAGAGAAAGAGAACAAAATAACCAAATGAAGGACATTGAGAAAAGTACAATGGTGAGAAAAAGCATGCTGTACTGGGAAACTACAAGTGTGGTGCTATTTTTCCCTTCATGTGTAGCATACATATATACCTATACAAGGCAAGAGGGCAAGACACAGAAGAGAAAAAGTAGTTTGAAAGCGTTTTGTGCACTAAGTAGATTGTATTTTACTCAGAAAGCAATGGACGAATATTTTGAGCAATATAATGTTTTAGAACACAAACGTTGGAGCCAGACTGACCAAATCCTGGCTTTGCCAATTACTAGCTGACTTTGGACAAATTATTTAACCTCTTTTGTCTCAGTTTAGTCAACTACATAACCTCAGAGGGTCGTTGTAAGGATAAAACTGGCTTGTTAACATAAAATACTTAAAATAGTGCCTGACACATAGTAAATATTCTATACATTTTAGTTATTGAGGCTTTACATAGTTCAATCTATTTCAGAGAGGCATTCTGGTAGCAGTGAGTAAGTTAGGAAGCTATCTCAGTAATCCAAATGAGAAATGATAAGCTATTTCAAAATGGAAGAAGAGAAATAGATTCATGAGATCTTTAGGATTTTGTAATCGATTAGACACAGAGGTTAAAGAAAGCTAAGAAGTCCAAGGACAAATTTCAGATTGCTGGTTTGGGTAATGGTAGTAGATAATAGTGTTACCACTCAAGACAGAGAAAAGAAGAAGAATGAAAAAACTGATCAGATTTAAACATACTAAATCTTAGATACCTATGTTTATCCAAGTGGAGGTAGGCAAAATACTATAGATCTGGTGATTAAGAGACAGGTCAGAATTGAAGGTATATATTGGGTGACAGTTACTAGTTTATGTGGTAACTGAAGCATCAGGTATGTATCTAACAATGAGACATTAGAGAATACTAATTGTCTACTCAATCAATAATCTATCTCCTGTTCTTTGTTGTAAAAGAACCTCCCTACCAATTTTTGGCTGGACACATGACTTCCTAGAGTAAAGACTTCTAGATATCTTTACAGCTAGCTAAATTAGTTACACCTAAGTTCTAACCAATGGGATTTGAGCAGTGATGCATGCAACTTCTGACTGGGTACTCAAACAGAACAGGCATGTCCTCTCTTTCCTAATTACTATTAGCAATTATCATTCCTAATGGTTGGAATGCTAAACAGGTAATAAAACATCGTATACCATGTGAATGAGGGCCAGATCCTAGAAATGGTAGAGAAATAAGACCAAAAAAAAAAAAAAAGGCTAGGTCTGAGATTAACTCACAGAACAAAGAAACCATATAAACTCAGATTTTTCCATGAGAGAAAAATAAACTCCTGTCTTGTTTAAGTTACTGTTATAATCAGCCAAAATTATATCATAACCAATACCAAATACGATATATAAAATGTGATACTACACACAATAGTATGGCACGTGGCAATGGCTATTAACAGAATGACAAATGGGCGTAATAGGTAGTGACTGTCATAAATATTGTGGCAAAACATTAGGTAAAACAGTGTCTTGTGATCCTGCAGAAGGCAGACAAGCTAATAGAAGCTGTAACAAACAGAAGAAATGACTGAAAAAATTTACCACTGATGCTCCAACCCAGAAAGGTTAATCACACCTCCACCCAAATCTCTATCTAACTAAGCAGATCATGGTCAATTTCTCTTTCAGAGCACTGCTTAAAATTGTCTACTCTTTTGTCTACTCTTGCTTCCAGTCTATTTAATACCTATATATATTTAATACCTGTATATACATTTGGCTATAACTGAGTGTTTATATATATATATATAATATATATTAAATTACATATATATTAAATCACATATATATTATCATATATACATATATAAGATATATATTATCATAGTAAAGACTCATTTTCCTGGCATGATTAGATAATGCGGCATGTCATATAAGTATATTTTTCCAGGTAATAAAATTCTCTAAGCAGTTTCTACTATTGCCAATAGAATTCTTTCTAAACTATACATTACACATTCCCCATCTTAGTAGAGACTGTAATGAATCTAATTTAACCTTCCACTGAGCACTTTACTTCATCATTATGAATATCAGTTATTATATTTTAATAAGGTCTTTCTTAGTTTATGTTTATTCTAATTGATCCTTTGTTATATACTGATACTCACAGCTGAACCCATCAGTGTTCCCACTATACTGTTCCCATAACTATCTAATGAAACAGGAAGACATGAAGGCTGCCACAGGACACCAGATGGCTTTCTAAGTTTATTTCCCTAAGTCAGTAGGCTCTGTAACTAAAATGAAATCAAACCTTTCCTACATAATTAAATGCAAACTTTTAATGCCTGTTTTTCTTGAAGCATATAAGAAATAGTTTTGATTTATTGCTAGATTTGCTGAATTCTAATATTTTATATGGCAAAATTTTCTGGAAGTTTAACACATTCATGTATTTTATATCTATATATTCTTATTTTGATTTTATATATTAAAAAAGTACATAATCACTAATAGAGTTTAACTCAATATTCTGTATGTATAGCTTGCATACAATTAATGCTTTTATCAATGACTGTCTAAGGTATAAATGGGGCATTACTCCCCCCTCCAACAATAAGTGGTTAGAACAAAGTGGGAAAAAGCACCAAAAGTGGAGGAGCAAGTGTCCATAACTTAAGAATTTCTGAGCACTTAAATTTTACTATAAAAAATATTGTCAAAAATATATACTAAATATTAGAACTGTCTGGAAAGGAGAGGGAAAAGAAGGAGTAGAAATGGCAAAACTAGTTAAAAGGCAAATAATTACTTCCAAGTGTTACCTATAAGCTATTTCTTATAGAAATTAAAACAAATATTTGTCTGAAAAGAAACTCAAAAGCTATTCATTTAGAATAAAGAACATAAATGCATTCTGAAAAGGACATACATTTTTAAGAACTGAAATTCTATTAAAATGTGGCTTTAAAATATAATATTTTCAGGAATTCCCTGGCGGTCCAGTAGTTAGGATTCCACGCTTTCACTGCCAAGGGTGCAGGTTCAATCCCTGGTTGGGGAACTAAGATCCCACAAGCCACACAACATGGCCAAAAATATATATATATATGTACATATATATATATATATATATCTATATATATATATATATGTATATATATATAATATTTTCATGTCTTTTGAAAACAATCATAATAGTCATACATATTTTCTAAGTTCTTGAAATTTTCAATAATGTTCCAAAGCCAAAAACATGCTTTTTACTAATGTGTTCTCTATACATCATTAAAAAAAACACCACAATACTGATTTTGACTACTTTTACCAATAGCAACGTTCTCTCATTCCTTTTACAACTTCAACTTCACAATATTTTGTAAGAATTGCTAAGACGTGTTGAAAATCTGGTTACACACAAAGATGAGACTTTAACAAAGGCAATCTGGGAAGCAATATACTTAGCCCAAGAACAAGAAGAACTTGGGGTAAGGGTCCAAGAATCAAAACCCATCTTTGCTACTTATAGCTTTGTGACTTCAGATATATTAATTTCTTTAAACCTCATTTTCCTTTCTATACAATTGGGCAATGATAGTTATCTCATTAGGTCATTGTGATAATTAAAAATTAAATGAGATGATATATGAAAAAATACTTCACACAATGCCCAGGAACTATTTCCTTTGATCTGATCAGAAGTCAGAAGCTTAATTATTTAATTCATATTATTTAGTTTTATTATATAGACATCTGGGATTAAACTATGTTTTAATTTCAACATGCCAAACTATACGTGATTAAAATGTCATTTAAAGACCCCTTTACCAATTCAAGTGCATCAAGTTACAACCTCTGCCCTAAAGAAAATAAATTTGTGTACTCATCCCAAAATGGTTTGCTGCCAAAATTAAACAAAGGTAGCAATAAGCACCACCACAACAAAATCATTTTTTAAAAAAGAACTGTTATAAAATTTAAATCACATTATAGTCCAAAGAAATGTTCTTTATGTCTGGTTAACAATGGGAAAGGGTAACAGCTTTGTCAAAAGATTAGGCTCATCATTCCCTCTCTTCAATCCATCTCCATTTCTATTTCCTGAGCATATCACATCCTATTACCTCCTACTGATGGAGAGATCAGCAAATACCAGGAGGCTTCTGGAAAATAAAGTCTAGTGAGGCTCTAACCCAAGGACAAAAGAAAAATGAGGACTGCAAAGAGGATCTGGCAGGAAGGGGACACGATCACACTAAACTGGATCACAATTTTAACTTAAACATTTAATGTGGCTTCTTAAGCACTTTACATCCTATACTCACTTAACTAAACTATGGTTGATTCACTCAACACATAAACTTTCTAAACATTAAGATAGATTTGCTGGCACACACGGTATCACCATGAATTAGTTGAGACCTGGCATACTATTCTGAAAAGTTTGTCTATCCTGAAAATGCAATCTGGCACAATACCATAGGGGAGAGGCTAAACATTCAAGGAATTCAAGTCTCCACATAGTAGCCTTTCATCTTTTTCTGACTGTGACTCACATTTTACACTATAACCCAGCAGTCACACATATGCAAGTAGACACAACATACACCCCTGACACTATTGTTTCATAAAGTAATAAGGACCCATACTATGTGCTCTAGTTTTTCCTTATTATCTGAATTTAGATTCTACTTCAAAAAAAAAAAAAGTGGAGGTCACAGCCCACAAATTGAATTCATAATCCACTAAAGGGTCCCAATCCTAGAAAACACTGCTATAAAAAATGTAGTAAAATGTTAACATTTGGGAATCATTTTTTTTCTGGTTTTAAAGTCTAAAATTGTTAAAATAAAAAAAAATTTAAGAAACCCTCCAATTCATCTTACTAGGGAAATAAGATTATAGAGCCAAGTTACCTTGTCTCATATAGCTATGTAGTTCCATGATTTCCCCCCCCCTTTTCCTACTGTCACACAATTCTTTGCATGTACCATGTTTTCAATAAATACATGCTGAATAAAAAAATTATGGGAAGGTATAGGCTAGAAATGACTTCATAAAGTAGGTAGATTTTTAGCCAGGTCTTCACAGCAGCAGCAGATTTCAGTTGGTGAAGTAGGAAAAAAAAAATATATATATATATGCAAAGGGACATGGATTAAAAATTAACACCAGGTTTTATGCTTACAAAACGATTTTAATCTATTTATTAGTGAAGACTCAAAGATCAAGAACAGGTTCACAAAAAATCACCAAAGACTGTATCACAGAAAAATAAAAGGTGATACATGGTAAACAAAACCTATGAGCATACTTATATAAACTCACTGAATGCCAGGAATGAAGTCTACCCCCTCTCTCTTTAGAACATTATAAATTAAGAAAAGTAAAAGTTATACCTCAAAATTCTGCTCCATTATGTTTCCACCTTTACTCAAACTCTCCATAATGGCTTTATTTCGAAGAATATCTTCTTCACTGAGATGTTCTCTTCTTTTTCTTGATTCTAAAACAAGTCCATTCACCAGATAAAAGTCGGCCAAAAAGTTTCCTACCCTTTCCTAAAGCAAAATCAAATATTTCAAAATAATAAAGTTTATCTTAGATTTTTTTAAAATTTTGAAGTAATACACAGTTTCTTCATAAACATATAACATCCCTCTGGTACTTGAAATTATCAAATTATCTTATACATTCTATTAAGCTAAAAAATACATAAAATTACACATTTCAAATTTGTAAAGGAAAATTTAAAACACACAAGATGTATGGTAGTTAATCTGCAAATGAATTAAGTGTAAGTAAAAACAACACATAGTATTCCTTTAGAATCTACTCCCAAGTAGCACAAAACTATCTGACAACTTAATTTAGCTAATAGTCAAATATCATGAGTTACAAGGAGGGGTCAGGGATAATTAATGTTCCCATTTTATAGATAGAAAAAAATGGAATAAAAAGAAATAAAAATTTCTAGTACAACTAAAATTAATTACCTGTTCCAGTATTCTCTAACAGGCCCAAACTTCAAATTACAGTTGCTTGCTTCTTTCAACAGTGGGAGAACAACCAAGTAGTTTTGCTCATCAATATAATTATGTATTTATATTATGGATTGGGGATAGGGAAACTCAAATGGATTAAAAGGACATCAAGAAAAGAGGGCTCCTTCAACATTAACCTTCACCTTTTTCCAGACCCACAGGTGGTCAGAGTTTGAAATAACTTACCTCAGAAAACATGATCAGTAACTACTGAAAATAAGCTTCCCATTTCTACCTGCATGCAGATCACTTGCTCTCCTCTTGCTGCTGTTTTCTGGCATTCCAAAACTAAGTGTTTATTGTTGCTTCCATTTCCACCTTGCTTTTGGTGGCTTCCTTACCAGTCATTAGAAAGCAAGGCATTCTGTACCTGTTTCTACCTACAAAATGGGAACCATAAGCATTACTGACTCCCTCCTTACCTGTCAAAGACTTAAGAAGATCACCTAGACACTCTTCAAGAGCTTTGAGCTGCTTAGCAGTAGCACTAGATGAACAGCAGCTTCAATTTTTATCTTCTCTTGAAGTGATCCTTCTAATGCTGTCCAGAAGAACAGAGTACAAACAAATAAGACTTCAAGCCAACAAATGGATTGCAATGTAGGATCTCACAACTGGGAATCCTATAATGGTACTTGTTGCCAAATAGGCTTAGAGAGGAAAATTGATGAACCTAGATCTCACAGTGAGAATTTTTCTGTGGTTGGGAAACACTCAAGTGATAATGATCAATTTTTGAAATCTTATAATGAAAAAGCATTTATTAAAAATAAATCATATCAATAAAAAAATTTAAATGTATATTCCCCATAATCCAGCCATTCCATTTCTTGCTATCTATAAAAGACAATGCAAAGGCATGTAAAAGGATAGTAAACATAACATCATTTATAGTGGGAGAAAACTGGACACAAATGTGTGTCCATCTAAATGTCCAAAAATAAGAGACTGGATAAATAAATTACAACATATCCATACTATGGAATACTATGCAGTTGCTAAAAAGAATGAAGTAATACTACTGAAAACACTTCTAAGACATTGGGGGAAAAAAAGTTGCAAAACAATAGATAAAATGACACTTTATGAAAAATAAACCTATCAATCATAAATAGATATTTATGTACATAAAGCATAAAGAAAGGTCTGGGGGGTATACAGCTGGATAACCTTCTGCAAAGGACTCTGGGATTGTGAGTAGTGGTCAAGGGAGATTTTTCAGCTTTATGTGTAAGACTGTGTGGTGGTTAATTTTATGTCAGTTTGCCTAGACTATGATGTCCAACTGTTCAATCAAACACCAGTCTAGATGTTGCTACAAAGGCTTTTTCTTTTTTTTGGCTGTGCTGTACAGCTTGCAGGATCTTAGTTCCCCAACGAGGGATTGAACCCAGGCCACAGTGGTGAAAGCACTGAGTCCTAACCACTGGACCACCAGGGAATTCCATGAAGGCATTTTTTAGATTAATTAAAATTTACATCAGCAGACTTGAAGTAAAGCAGATTACCCTCCATAATATGGAAAGGCCATATCCAATCAAATGTAGGCCTTAAGAGCAAAGACTAAGGTTTCCCAAAGGAAAAGCAATTCTGCCTCAAGACTGCAACACAGAAACCCTGCCTGAGATTCTAGCCTGCAGATTTCAAACTCAAGACCATATCAACTCTCCCCTGAATTTCCAGCTGCTAGACTGCTCTAAAAATTTCAGACTTACCAGCCTCTACATTCACACAAGCTAATTCCTTAAAATAAATCAATCTCTCCCTCACCCTTCTCTCCTTCTGTCTATAGGTATATATACATCTATATGCAGATATATACACATACACAGAGAGATACAGAACTCCTACTGATTTTGTTTCTCAAAGAACCCTGACTATTACAGGCTATTTTTGTCTTTCTAATGAGGATATATTCATTTCTACTGTGTGTAATAAAAGATAAATAGAATTCTTAAAATCTTGTCCCTTACCTAATGTGTTACTTATTCTTGACTTTAAAATTTTATAAGATGCTTCTTCATACATGCAACTAAAAACTGTTTGAATATATTTTGAACATATTATATTTGAAATATTATATATTATATAACCTCTTGCTGACAGATGAAATGGGAATTATGGAAAGAATTTACAATTCACTAATGGGGAAACCGCCACTGAGATTTAATTTAATTACAGTGTTGTAGAAATGTAAGCTTATTTAATTTTAGTCAAATATATGGAATACTGAGGGACAGATACTGGGTAAGTAAATAGTTTAAAATTCTAAAAGAAGAAAGAAAAAAGGTCCAGAGAAATGAATTTAAAAGTATATGCTTCTTTGTGGTCTTCCTAAGAAAAAAAGCATTAGAAATATAATGGAACCATGTGAAGACATTGTTCCCTGTATAATAACAAGGCAACAAACAACAAGAATATTTTTCAACATAAAATTCAAATGAACTAAACTTTCTCTCCTGGCTTCTCCTATCTTCCAACTCTGTAACCAACCAATATAATTCCCTATTTGGGTTCAAAGAGAAGAGAATAAACTACTTGAAAACAAGTAAGTAAGATACTTCTTTCTACCTGTATTTCCATCACATTATTTTGACAACATTAAATACTAAACAATTTTTAAAGTGTAAAAATCTCGATTTGCACATACTGTTTTATCTTCCCGAAAAAGCCATCCTGTTTGGGCACGCGTGAAAGAAATTGATTTGGTTGATAAAGTTGCAGAGTAAATATCACTACTCATTAAAATGTCAACCTCTTCTTCTGTTTCCATCTCTGATTCCTGGGGTGGGGGCAAAAGGTAAATATAAGAATCTAGGTTTTCAGAGGTTTTTAGCGCCACATATGAAAATGTCAACAATTAAAACGTTACAGATTTCAAAAAACAAAAAGGACCAATTCTAAAAAAATGTGAAGTGCTAGTTACTCTAAAAACAATTACAGAAGTGTAAACTTCATATAACTAAATAAGTTAGAATTATAACTAATTATGAATCTAAAAATACAGGACACATAAAAAGGGTACTCACACTCTTCCAGATATGTAATGGAAACAATACTAGATTACCCATTACAGAAGTACAAAGTATGCAGAGTAATTGTAAAAGATTACTTTAAGAATTAAGTAGACACGTCTGAGACAAAATGCCTGTAAGAAGGTTTTGTTTTCTTTAAGTATAAATGAACCTTACTTTAGTTCTTTTTAATCTAAAGACCCACCACTATGAGCCTTTCTTTCCCAATAGTTTTAAGTGGAAGGAAGGAAGGGAAGGAGGAAAGGAGAGAGGTGATAAGGAAGGAAAAAAGGAAAGGAGGCCACATGGGATCTTCTCTATACACCTTATAGAAAGAAAAGAAATCCATAAATATCAACTCATAATTTCCAAACTCAATTAGCAGCCTTGCTTCAACATATTCCCCAGTGCTGGCATAAAATAATTGATCGATAATTATTTTTTAAAAGAGAAAGCTTTGTGCTTGTTTCAGGGACAGAAAACTAAGAGACCAGGTACAGAAGAGTAAATGAGTAGGCATTAGATGAGGCTCTATTCTAAATATAATAGGCCAAGAGAGATTCTCTGATATTTAGGACCCCAGAATCCGAAGAAAAGAGGGAGAAAAAAGGCAGAACCTAGAGAGTTGACTGGAGAATGAGAACCATCCATAAGGTTTCCAATAAGTAGAGGCTCTATTTTCCCTACCTCCTGATTTCTAGATTCCCAGGAGGCCCATTTTCTATTCATCACCACAAACTTTCACCCAGATATAGCCCATTTCCTTCACCCTTACAAGTGAGGGATAGAAAATCTTGACATTAATGCTAAGGCTGTAACAGGTGAAAATGTATTCCTGGTAACCCAAACTAATTCTGAACACAATTTCCTAAAGAGAAATTTTGACTGGCATAGATTGTACAGAACTGTTAACCATCATGATGTAAATATATTACAAATCAATTAGGATTTTATGTACTAGCTTGGGAACAACACTATATACAACACTACCTATGAAGAAATTTGCCTTAAGTTTCAAACATCCCAATTTCAAATAAACTTTTGAAACATAACTCTTCTGTAAATCATAGACTATCTCCTAACCACATCATTGAAAAAGACCTGTTGTTAATTACATTCATTCAACAAACATTTAATGAACAATTATTACTTATGTATACATATTAGGATAAAAAACAAGTATTCCCTGCCCTGAGGATTATTGCTCAAAATCTAGCATTTCTGTATTCTTTTAGACATAAAATACACACACATATACCCTAAATACCAGACCACTGGTGATCTCATTGATACTATAACATCAGCTAATACTTACACTACTAGCCTTAATCTCTGGCTTCTCTTTTAGTACTGTCTTTCCAACTCATCTATTGCCCAGTTAGCTATCCTGTTGTTATTTAAAACATAAGAATTCGAATTATTTAGTACATATATGAGAGTCTAGAATAAGGGTCAGCAGACTGTGGCCAGCAGTCAAATCCAGTCCACCATCTGTTTTTCAAGTAAAATTTTATTAGAATACAGCCATACTCATTCATTTATATATTGTCTCTGGTGGCTTTTATGTTAATAACAGCAGAGGTGAGCAGTTGTGACAGAGACCATATGACCTGCAAATATATTTAAATATCTAAAATACTGACTCTCTCCCTTTACAGAAAGATTCTGCCAAACTCTAACTAGAATGTACTGATGCTGTATTAGGTACCAGAGACTACAACTAAAAAAACCCCAAACCTCTGAGAAGCTTAGCCCCAAGAAAGAAGAAAGCCATATAGACAAAAACAGCATTAGAAGCTCTATGGTACCACATTAGTGAGAACATCAAAACAATGGTCACTTGGCAGATGAGGAAGTAACACTAAGTAGGTGCCCCACCAGGGTGAGGGTACAAGAAGAAGGGTATCCCCAGAATTGGAAACAATATGAACAAAGGAATGAAACACTAAATAGCCTGGAAAAAATTGCAAAGAGTTCAGCATGAAGGTATCTATGATAACAGGGTAAGAAAAAGGCTGGAAAAATGAACAAAAGCCAGGTCACAGAAGGAACCATGGCATGCTAAGGAACTTGGATTTCATTCTTCAGGCAACAGGGAACTTTTAAAGTGTCTTTAAGGAAGACAAATGTCATGAATTTGTTTTCAATGTTCAACCTATCTCCAATATGTGAAATAATTTAAAAGCAGACAAGAAGGGGGCCAGGAAGATCATTTATGAGACTTTTGTGACAGTCCAGTTGACATAATGAATACCTAAATTATGGCAATAACAGCATGAATAAAAAAGGGATAATTATAAGACATGAGGGAGACAAGAATAACCACACATGTTCTCTAATTAGGAAACGTGAGAATACAAGAAAAGATGTCAAAAAAAACCTCCAATTTTTCTCACTGAACAGAGAATGATATCAATCACCAAAGGAAAGAAAATGGGAGAACGGGCACCTTAAAGGGAAAACAATGAGTTAAGTCTTAAATAAGCTAAGTTTTGAGGTAACTAGGAGACACACAGGCTATCCATTAGGCATTTAAATAGATAGGTCCCCACTCAGAAGATCTGAGTTACAAATATATACTTGTGAACTATCAACTGATAAGAAGTAGTGAGAGCTGTGGGAATGGAAGAGATTATTCTGGCAATTTGTAAAAATGAGAACATCAAGCGCATATCAATATTCAAGAAGTGAGCAGAGAAAAGGAAACAGGCAAAAGAGAGTAAGAAGGAGATATGGGAAAAGAACATCTAATGATCAAGGTCAAGTCACAAGGAAATGCAAATTTTAAGAACTGAGTTACCGGTAATAGCAAATACTTCAGAGAAGTCTATATAAAGAGAAGGTTGAAACAAATACACTGCTTTTAGCAACAGATCCAATATGAAGGTCATCTAAAACCCCAAACCTGTTTCCTTTTCCAAATGCCCCAATTCTATCTGTGGCACCACCATCATTTACTCTGTATTGTAGTCTGTTCAGTGTGCAATAGCATCATGCTTAAAAAAACAAGGTACATACCTTAATTTAAAAATACTTTATTGCTGGGACTTCCCTGGTGGCACAGTGGTTAAGATCTGCCTGCCAATGCAGGGGACACAGGTTTGATCCCTGGTCCAGGAAGATGCCACATGCTGCAGAGCAACCAAGCCCGTGCGCCACAACTACTGAGCCTGTGCTCTAGACCCGTTGAGCCACAACTACTGAGCCCGTGTGCCACAACTACTGAAGCTCGTGTGCCTAGAGACCGCACTCCGCAACAAGAGAAGTCACTGCAATGAGAAGCCCATGCACTGGCAACAAAGAGTAGCCCTGGCTTGCCGCAACTAGAGAAAGCCCACACACAGCAACGAAGACCCAAAGCAGCCAAAAAATAAATTTAAAAAAAACCACAAAACTTTATTGCTAAAAAATGCTAATCATCATCTGAACCTTCAGCAAGTCATAATCTGTTTGCTGGTAGAGGAGTCAAAATATTTCGAGAATTACCAAAATGTGACACAGAGACACAAAGTAAGCAAATGCTGTTGGAAAAATGGCACCAATAGACTTGCTCAACACAGGGTTGCCACAGACCTTCAATTTGTAAAAAACGCAATATCTGTGACGTGCAATGAAGCGAAGTATGCCTATAACCATAAAAACACATATTTTCCCCCCTTCCATTCTCTCCCTTTTCCAATCCATCTTGCATACTAGCTGTGTGATCTTAGCGATATCTTTTAACATTTATAAGCCTCAATATTTTCATCTATAAAATAGAGATGGTACTATTTAGACAGGTTATTTTAAGGATTTAATAAAAGAGCTTTAAAGTATTTATAGTTCCAGTATGCTGGCATTTAATGCTTAATATATGATAGTAATTGATATACAGTTTGCCCTCCATAACTGCAGGTTCCGCATCTGCAGATTCAACCAACCAGGGATCAAAAATATTTGGAGAAAAAAAAATTCCAGAAAGTTCCAGAAAGCAAAACTTAAATTTGCCACACAGGCAACTAGTTACAAGGTATTTACACTGTATTTACAACTATTTACCTAGGCTTTACATTGTATTAAGTATTATAAGTAATCTAGAGATGAATTAAAGTATATTGGAGGATGTGTGTAGCTTATATGCAAATACTACACCATTTTATATAAGGGACTTGAGCATCTGTGGATTTTGGTATCCTTGGGGATTCCTAGAATCAATCCCCGCAGATACCAGGAGACAAACTGTATACTATTAATACAATGCCACTATCCATAGCACCTAGCAGTGTCTAGCATTTATTAGGTCCTTGATAAAATGTTTGAGGAAGAGAGGGAAGGAGGAAAAGTCAAAAAACTATTATATATAAGATTAATTCATTTAAATTACTTTTTGATCAAATCAATCCCTTGTTTAAGAATCTATGACTCTCTATTGCCAACTATAACAGATCCTAAATTATTTTATCTGGCTGTTAAGGCCTTCCATAAATCATGTTCCTATGCTCAGTAAGAGAAACCTTCACTGCAGTCAGATAGATTGCTTTTCTGTTTCCCAAATAAACCATTCTTAGTCCTACTTTCCTGACTTTACTCATCCTGTTTCCCCCACAAGGAATGTCTTTTTTTCTTCTCTTCGAATCCAACTCTTCCTTGCTCAGTGCCAGTTAGGAAACTATTTATTTCAATAGTACACATACAAGGTAACTAAATATCAACAGATATGACAGTAGGAGGGTCTAATCTAAGAGATGTTGAGGAAGGGGTCACAAGATGTGGTAAACGTAAGGAAAGGAAATGGTGAAAAATAAAAGCCACAGTGACAAAACAAAATATTGACCTAAAAACATTTGTAAGGCTATCAGTGATATATATAGATACTAGAAAAGCTTTTTCTTTGGTTTATAAGCATTCAGGGAACAACAGATATAAGATCATGGTGAATATGGTCTCTCAAAGGTCGTTGTGAAGGCAATTCACATGGTGTTTAGATATGGTGTTTAGAAGGGGTATAATTTTGTACTTTAAGAGTGGAAAGACGGAGAAAAGAAAGGTGGCCAAAGAGTTGGGAAAAGTAAAACGGTACAGACAGAAAGCCAAGAGAGGTGTTCATATTAAAGAGGTAGAGATGGTTCACAACAATAAAAGAAACTAAGATAGGAAGATAAATGGGGACAGGGCCAGAACAGGTTCAACAAATGAGAACTATGAGAAGTTAGGGTTTATTTAACTAGGAGATCATCAGTGAATTAAGAGCAAACAGACTCAGTGGATTAGTCAGGATAGAGAACAGATGATAAAACTTTTTTAAAAAGCAAGAGGTAAGAAAATCAAAGCTTTAGGAATGAACCATCTCAATTATGCCTTACGCCTTTTAAAACAATTACACCGAGGCTTGGTTGCATACACAGACTTCTTTTATTTTTTTAGCCGCACCCCGTGGCATGTGGGATCTTAGTTCCCCAACTAGGGATCGAACCCTCACCCCTTGCATTGGAAGGCGGAGTCTTAACCACTGGACCACAGGGGAAATCCCTACACAGACATTTTTAAACCATTTACAGGAATACTGATAAGACAACATGCTCACCTCATGGTGTATTCGCTGATAAACTTTTTGTTCATTGTCTAATACTACAAAAGATTCAGAGGGTGCCGCATCCCCATTGAAAATGAAGCTTAAATCCCCTCGTTGGCACTTCATGTCAGTAAAGTCTATGAGAGTAGTGTCAAGCCTGTGAAAGATGGATAGATGAGAAATTCTGACAAATAAAATTTCAATAAAACTTCATATTAATTAAACAAGTTTTGCTCCTTCTAAACTCAAACCAAGATGCTAATACCATATTTCAAAATCAAATTTATAGATAAAAGCTAAATTTAAAATATCTCATTAAAAAACACCAAAAGAATATTTAAATATATATTCAATTTTATCTATATTTCATTTTTCTGAATATATACTTCATTAATCCAGCAAGAAAAAGGTTGTTTCCCCATTGTTGATGCATTTCTCTAACTGTACCCTTATTCTCTACCATTTCCTATACTGTAGCTACTCCATAAAAGTTACTTCAAGGGGGAAGGGCAGAAAAGGAAACCAGACCTGTGTAACATTCTCTGATACTTTCAAGACCAAGTTGCTAGCTCGGCAGAGTACAGCTGACCCTTGAACACCAGGGTTTGGGGAGCTGACCCACATCCCCTCCACATGTAACTTTACAGTCGGCCCTCCATATGCACATTTCCACATCCTCAGATTCAACCAACCTTGGATCATGTAGTACTGTAGTACGTATTTCTTGAAAAAGATCTACGTATAAGTGGGCCCAAGTAGTTCAAAACGGTATTGTTCAAAGGTCAACTGTATATAAGAGAGGTATAGCCATGGACAGACCACATTCTTAGACTAAGGACTGTGTCTCCACAGTCTTGTCCTTATGATCTGCATCTATGCTTATGCTTGGTACCAAACCTTGCTTCATCCTTCAACTCGATAAACCATTTAACTTACTCTAAATTCTTGGCCTTTCTGCTTGACTTCCCAGATTCAGATTAGCATTCTTTTTCCCAGCATTTTCTTTTCCAACATCTCCACAGCCTGAAAACATTATGGATCGTTCCTATGGCAAATATTCATGGACTCACACACTTGGATGTTTGCTGTGCTCATTATAACCAAGACCTGGCATGGTCGACCCAGTGGGTTGGTCTCAAATAAAATCTACAAATCACTACTTGCTGAAATTTGGGAGAATAATGGAATGGAAAAGTTCACAAGTACCCTGAAGTGCTTCAATCTTGCACAAGGCTTTGTAGGAGAAGCTGAAAAATGGAGCATATTTCGCATGCAAAAGAATAACTAGGGTTACATATAATTTATCACCAAAACTAGTAGTTTTTAAAGGTGAAGGTGATACTGTTAATAATTTTACCAGGACAACAGAGGTGAACAGGGAAATATGGTTATCCTATGTATAAGAGGCTCTTTTCTGAGCCATATAAAATATACACACCCCTCAGAACCGAATAAGAAGTCCTAAAAAGAAAACCAAGTCACCAACTCCTATATGAGTGAACACTACCTGCTGCTTTACAGTTGAATTCTAGCCCCTGGTCCTCTTCCAGTAGCCTGCTACTGTACTACTGGTGCCTGTACTACTAAACATATCCTGTTATTGCTTGTACATGTGGCGTAAGAGAAAATAATGCCAGTAAAAGGGGCTTATCCTCCACCTCTATAAGATGCAGGCTACTGAAGTCTCAAAAAAGGAACAGATCATTTTACATGCATGGCCTATTTGGACTCCAAGCTTCAGCTACCAGGGAACTCTATACCCCACCAAAAAAAGAAGAAAAGGGCCAGAACAGTCTTTTGCCTCCATTCCCTTCTTGCCCATCCTGGGTGAGGGTAGTAGTGGGTTGCAAGGGGTGGGGATAGGAAATGTGAGAGAAGAGATGTACAGAGAGACAAAGACAGACTGACACTGGCAACATTTGAGCCCTTAAATCTAATTTATCATAATGATATAATTTATAATATAATTTTTTATATAATTTATCACAATGATATTTTAATGTATTAACTAGTCCTTGGCTTTCAGCTTATAAGCCTAAATACTTTTAATTTTGCCATGTAATTCACCATGAAGAACAAAAAATTCTTTATACAAATGCAAAGATTTGAGTAGAACACGTTCTGTTTCAGATAAAAACTTGAAAAATGCCCAAGTAACAGTGAAAAGGAAATAGGGCCTACTCGAAATAGGAAGAGCCTGACTGGAAAGTTTGCAATGATTATTTTAGTCAGTGGTTATATGTAACCTCAAAATTATTAACAGTGAAAATATTTGTTAGTATTCTCAACAATAAAGTTGCCCACACTTTCCTATTTCTACTAAAGTATTAATTTCTCTTTGACAACAAAGAAGATACTTTTTTTTTTTTTTGGCCACACGGCCTGCAGAATCTTAGTTTCCCGACCAGGGATGGAACCCGTGCCCTTGGCAGTGAATGCGTGGAGTCCTAACCACTGGAACACCAAGGAATTCCCAAAGAAGATACTTTAAATTATCACATAACTGTCAGGAGATACAAGTAAAATTCATTTGAAGTGATGTTTAAAAGAACTAATCATCTCCTGATGTTTAAATTTGAAAGTTTTTATTTAATGTTAACAAACTTCTTTTTCTTTAAAATAATTCTTCATCTATGCAAAAAACCTTTGTCATACATCCTAAAATGCAGCTTCTCCATTAATCTAGTAAACTTTGTTTGATAACTAGCACTTTGAACCTGTCACATTTCTCCCTCAACCTCGGCTGCTAGTAAGTCCCAGGTTTCAGAGTCTTGCTAAACTGCAGTAGCTTCCCTTAAACTACATTCTTTGACACAATTATTCTCTCTCAGCCTCTTATTCTCATGTCTCTATCTTAACCATTTTGTGGTTTTTTTATCATCTATATTTATTAGGTAATATGCATCATGTCATTTACTTTTAAAAGTCATATATAAATGTGAAACAATTTTTTAAAAGAAAGAAGCTCCTTTTCTCCTAAGTTTAAGAATCAAACAGAACTAAAACTAACCTTTAGTTAAAGTAGCACATGGAAGATAATACTATTCTCCCAAGTTATGTACTAACTTTGGCAAGCACCTATATTAAGCATTTTTAAACTGATAATTTTTTAATAACCATAACATATTGCTAACAATAGGCTACTGAATTAAATCTACATCATTATCAAATCCTTTCCTAGTTTTCTAATCTATACTTTTCTGTATTTTCCAAGGTTTCTATAATGACCATGAATTTAATGTGCATGAACACTTTCATCATCAGAAACATCTGAGGAGGTTATTTTTAAAAACAAAATCACAGAAACTTCTACCTTAATAGAATTTTGCTGGAGAATAATGACCCTAGAACTTACTTCCATCTAAAGGTTATCTCTTCATTATAATTCAACATATTGAACAATAAATCTCATAAAGAGTTGATTTTTTAAAATTTCTGCCTTGTGACATGATATGATCTGACAGGAAGTCAGAGAGGTCCTGGCTCAGTGATTAATTTGCAATATGCTCATAAAAATCACTTCACTTGTCAGAATGTTCTAATCTATAAAATGAAGAGTTTATATGAGATAACCTTTTAAGACATCTCTAGTTCTAGACCCTTACATATTCAAATTAATATTCTGGATTTTTATAAGATACAGACATGTAAAATTTTATGTATATATAAATATACTAATAGGTATGAATATACTAAAAAGTTGGCATATTCACCAGCATTATATATGGCTTAGATATATATAACTTGTAAATATACCTATATTAACAGAAAGCTAAAGAGATAATGATAAAATCCTGAAATAAATAAAATAGATTCCCTGTGAGATCCAAACATCAATCTTAGTTTTAAAAGGAAACAGAAGAAAATTAAAATTAGCCTTAAAGTGTTCACTAGAATTGATAGATGACTGAACAGATGAATGGCTAGAAGCATGGATGGGTAGACAGGGGAGGGAAGGGTTGGAGAGGGATGGAGGAAAAACAGGACAATAGTTATGTCCTCCTTATGTGTCCCTTATTCCCTACAAAGCTAGGAAGAGGGAAATAACCATCTTAAATCTTCTTCGTGTTATATCATGATCTTCACTCTACTTGCCTTCCAGATAGTCTGTAGTTAAATAATAATACCTTTGTTTTAGTCAAGATTTTATGCCTTTGGTTCCTTATCTGTAGTATCTCAAAGGAGATAAAATATTGTGAATATATTACAACATGTTATAAAATACTACATCCAAGTATAAGCTATTACTACAAAAAGAAAAGCTATCTCTAAATCTCAATTATCTGTTACTCAGAAAAAAATCAAATCACCTTACCTGATATTGATACCTTGTTTGTATATTTTACATGCATCAGAAGGCAGAATTCGGGAAAGTAAAGGCACTGTATTTGTAAAAAGAAAAGGCAAAAAATAACCACCTGAAGTTCAGAGAGATTACAAATTTTTTTAATTAGAAGAAGAGTAATGTAAACATTTTACTATTTCACCAAAATTGTAATAATTTCCTTTAAAATAGTATTTTCCACTTAAAAATAATATACAAAGCAATTTTGAGGAACTTCAAATACCTACTATTTAATTGTAATTGCTGTATAGTTCACCACCACCACCCACCAAACACATGTAAGAGTAGCAGAGTTGATATAATGCCACTCTTGGGTATATATTGTAGGATATTACTGTAAGTTAGAAAACGATGCCCTGCGGTAACTAAACCCTCCTGAATGGGTAACCAGATAAGCCTGGATTCCATCTGATCCTCTAAATATAATTGGATTAAATACCAGAAAAGTAATATGTGTAATAGAAAAAGACACTTTTAGAGCTAGATAGTCGAATTTGAGTCTGAATCCCAAATATGTTGGTTACTTAAGCTCACTGTAGCTCAGTTTCAAAATCCATAAAATGCAATCATACTATTGACTTATAGATTTCTACATTCCAGTGTTGCTTACATTCATATCACAAGCTATATTCTCATAGTTTTTTTATTATTTATTATCGGCTATATTTTGAGGAAATATAAGTTATTCTATGGATAAATAAATCTACATAACAGGCTATATAATTAAACTACCACATACCAAAAAAAGAAAAAAATGTGAAACTCAAAATTCTTGAAATTAAAGATTACATCACATGTACATGTGTATGTACGTGGGTGTGTGTATCTATGTAAGATATATTATATGTATATTTTACAAAACTCTGTGTTTTAAAAATGGGTGATAAATCAACCTGGGTTAGAAAGAAACAAAGACTTTGGAGAAAATTAAGGGCTAGTTTTTTAGTTAACTTTTTCAAAAGCATCAATATTTGCTCACTAACATTAAAGGTATACCAAATATAAAAACGTCTTTTTTAAATCCTTAGAGGTCATTTAATTCAAAATGACTTCCAGCATTGAAGACAGTTTTCTAGACTTATTTTATAAAAGCAAGAAAATTTTACTGCCCAGAGGGAATATCAACTAAGAGTTACCCTGGTCAAAGAACATAAGAAATCATTTTCCAATAAAACTTTTCCTTATATGAAACAATAGAAGTTAAGAAGATTAATAATGGCATAAATCTACGTAAATGATCAAAGCTCCTCTTTCATGCTTATTGAGATCCAGTTTTTCTGTCCTTAAATATTTGGTGTAGCATGAAAAAGACGATTACAAGAAGACAGCATCCTAACAATTTAAATTTAACTTATTACATCTTTTGAAGTAGTACAGTAACCTATAAAAACAAAACTTAGAATCACATACCAATACCCATTTATCAAAAATCAGAAAAGGAGGAAGAGGGGAATGTAGAAAAAAATTAAGAAGCTTAGGGTTTGAAAAGCAAAAGTTAAAAAAAAAAAAGATATCATTGAGAAAAAAAGATTTTAATGCATTCCAAAAATAAAGCAATTTTCATTTTCCCAATTCTGTGATGACTTTTTCTTCCCCAATGTAAACTGAACAATTAGGCTGTCTGTATCTTAAGTTACCTCAGCATAATCTGAGAGTCTAACACAGTACTCCAAAGGCAGCACAATCCTCTGAACTGAAAAATGGAAAGTCTCAAAATTTTAATTTTGGTTTTGCTATCACTTACTCCCTGATTTTAAGAAGAGTTCCTAGGTTGAATGTTTTCCATCTATAATATGCAAAAAACAGTCCCAAATACAAGATGGATATTCTGTAGATTATGAGATAAAGAAAAAAAACTATTAGTTTTTCTGTTGAAACATGCTATATACACATAATGTTAAATTTGTAGTGATTATAAAATTATTTAACACTTTACAGTATCTGAAGGGCTTCCTTCAAAAACATGATTTCATTTCATCTACACCAAAACAAAGGCTTGAAATAGGTGGGGCAGTTATTATTATCCCCATTTTTAAAATGAAGAAACTGAAACTCAGGAAAGTTATGTGATTTGCCATGTCAAACAGTTAGGAGCCAGTACTTCTGATTCCAATTTAAAGCTTTTCCATACCTAAAAACTCAAGCTGGAATAATTCAGTCACCTCCAGACTTGCTATTAACCAAGTCTGAGGCTATTTTCAGCCAAATACTGAAGGAGAAAGAGTAGAGTTTGTGAGCTCCACAACCTCTAAATTAAACTTAACGCCGGACCTCAATATTTCTTAACTTCCTCTTATTTCTAGGTTGCCTTTTTTTTTTTTTTTTTTTTAAATATTAGGGGCTTTAACAAGGGGAGGAACCATGCCTAAACTCTGGGAAAAAGCTTGATAATCAAATCTAATAATAGAGATTATCCAATTTTTTTAATCCAAAGTGTCTAAGCTAAATCTAGCCAATGAGTTTAGTTTTTAAAATTATAGATGACATCTAACCATCAGGTGCTAATAATTTGACATGAAATCAGTAAAAACCTTTATCAACAATGAAACAGATGGGCTGACTTTTTTGCATCAAAGTCAAGTTCTCAAAGAAGCAATACTTTAAACAAGTACCTCAGTGGTTGCATAATGAACTTGATTATGCAACATTTATAATGTGTTTATAACTACAGATCATATGCACAATTTCTGGAGTAATTACATCCATTTCTATTTCTTCATGTAACTGAAATGTCACTTTTAAAATATTTTAGAACATTTTGCTCGGCAACATAAAGTGACTATCTTAGAATTCAAACCACTAACAACTACTAAGACAATCAATTAAAGAGCCAGTACACTCAAGGGACAACCTCAGTTTAGGATCGCCAAGAATGACTGGGGTCTTTACAGACAGAAAAAAACCGTGTGAAAAAACAGTACTCAGGCTTTAGACCAATCTAACTTAGACCTCTTTTACTATACAGTGCTATTACAAACCTTTTTTTCTCTCAGTATTCTAGAACACTGGGACTTCTGAATAATTTATAGAGCATAAAGGACTACGAGAGTTAACAAAACAAAATCATGTGTGATCTTTTTTTTTTGGCTGTGACATGAGGCTTGTAGGATCTCAGTTCCCCAGTCAGGGATTGAACCCAGGACACAGCAGTGAAAGTCCAGAGTCCTAACCACTAGGCCACCAGGGAACTCCCTCATGTGTGATTTTGATGGAGCCAAAACTAGCCTGATGAACTACAGTTGTTAACAATGTTAGAAAAAACTGATTATATTTAGGGATTAAAATTTTACATTTAGAGATTAAACACTAGAAAAACCTTAATCACCCATGCTGTACAGTATTATGCAGCTGTTAAAAAAAAAATGAAGTACTTCCTCATGAACTAAAATGTGAGATACCTATGATATATTAAGTAAACGTGACAAAATTCATAATGATATAATAGTATGATCCCATTAAAAAAAACTAATGCTGAGGATACATATACACATATACATTTATATTTATATATATGTACATACACGTTTGTAAGCATTGAAAAGAGTTTGAAATATTCATATGAAACATTAACAGTGGTTTCTAGAGTTATCAATATCTGATTTATTTTTATGATTATGATCTATTTTTATGATTATTTTGGTGATAATAAGCATTCAAATATCCTTAATATCATAAAGATTAATTCAGATGCTTTAAAAAACACACATAAGCGTACTATATTCAAACCTATATATAGATTACATTAAAAAAATATTTAACCCAAAAGTTAGTGGTTTGGATAGTTGTTTACTTAGTAAAGTAAAGGTCACTAGGATCAAACTTCCTATTTGGACACCAAAGTTTTCTCCCTAAGTAGACTCATGTTTAAAATGGGGAGGAGAGAAAACTTACCTTGCCAAGGTAAATCAATAAATGACTGTAAAATATCTAGGAATTAACGTCTTTCATAAATAAGTGGAAGAGTGTGCAACCAAATAGTATGTTAAAACAGTGGCTATAAAGTATGCAATAAAAGCAGCAAATGTGATTGAAAGATGACAAAACATACAAAATCAATTAATGTTAACCAAATTCTTCACATTCAGGGATCTAAATACTATATGTCAAACTTCCCTAAATTCAGTAATCTAATAATCCCATAATTATTCTTCTCTTCCCTCTGAAAATTCCTTATATTAAATTATTATAATATTTGAACCGGCATTTTATTTAAAAAAAAGAGAATTTTTAATCTTAAAAATAATAATTATGAAAGTTACTAATCAGGTTAGGATAATTAAGTATTACTATAGGGCTTTATAACCATTACATTCAACATGATGAAAAATATTTTAATTTCCTTAGGGTAATATTTGTTATGTTAACATTTCTATATAATAGTTATTTTTGCACTTGCATTTCTGCATACGTACATATTTTATAGTAAAATATAGCACACTCTTACCCCAGCTTTGAAAATCCCAGTGAAGTTCTAAATAAAAGTCACCTAGCTGAGAAATGAAATATGAATAATTATTGAATGCACACCTTCATTAACAGCTCTTATACCTACTTAATATTTTGCTTTAAAAAAATCTGTTATCATTAAAGGTCTATAGACAGGAATAGGAAAAAATTTCAATGTATGGAGTTGGAGAAAGAACCAAAAAATATATATGGTTATTACTTAAAATTACATTACAATAGCAGACATTACTACACATATCTACAAAGGAAAACTCACACCACTCTAGATTTTACAAGAACGTTTTAATCACATAAGAACATATCTGAAACTGACAGGCATTTAAATTTGCATCAATAAATATTCCATTTCGCATAACAATAAGTAGTATTGTAAAAATACTTAATAACTTTAGAAGTGTTATAAAAAAAAATAGTAACTTCCAAAATGATTATTGTGTAGGCTCATAATGGTCTAATAAAATCACCCACTGCAATACAAACTTTTTTTCTATAAAGTGATAGGTTTACTAAATTTGAAATAATATGTCATCATATGAGATCTATAGAGAACATTTTTATTTCACAAATTAGAAGCTAAACATCAAAGACTATAACTGTTCAAGGAACTATTAATCAAATATTGTCAAAAAAATTTATCCCTTGAGATTTCAAAAACAAAGCATACCTAAAAGAAGACATAGTCATGATGATATATCTTTCTCCCACAGTTCTTTCACGCATCCAAAATACAGAGGAAAAAACAACAGAAAACAAAACTCTCTCCCTTTCTGTGCCAGCACACCCAGCTCTTACCATCATGAAGTAGGACAGACAAAAAGAGTTTTGTTACATAAAGAAAATGCAAACTGCTCCTAAGGCAGTAGCACTTCAGCTCATAGAAAATCTTTCAATCCAAAGGACAAAGGAAAACTACTGCCATTAATTATGACTTACCTCCATTTTTCTTAGAGCTCTTACCTAATTTACTGAACGCAATAATTCTTTATCTGCCTTCTAAGATCAAAGCAAATAATGCTTCCCATAAGATTACACATCATAATCAGAGTATTTTGTAATGTCATTATTGCTTAATTGAAGCAGGATTTTTACCATTTCTTGACCCTTAATAATTAGTGAGAAATTAAACTGTATTTTTAAAATGCTTAAAAGTATACTTGCAATTACCCTTTAGGGCAAAATCAGCAAAGAAATTTAGCCTACCTCTTTCAGGGCTTTTAATAATCGAGGTCGTTTTTCTTCAACACTTTCCCTGGATTGCTGCTTAAGCTTCCTTAAAAGAGCTGTAACTAAAATTTAAATTTAAAAAAATTTTTTAATTTAAAATAAATTTCACCATGCTAGTTTGCCAATTACGCCTCAATAAAAAATTTATGAAAAACAATTTCACCATGCTAGGAAACACCACTGGCTTATTACACAGAGATATAATATAGATATTGTGAATAAGTTAGAAAATACCTTTAGCAAAACTGTTAAGATCCTCAAGGAAAATTGAAAACAGATACCTCGACATCAACTTATTCATACTAGTTTTGCTAGTTTTTAATCATCAGTAGGCTTTATCTGACTGAGTCAAGATTACCAATCTCAGTCAGATGATGCAGTGTCCTGTTGTCAACACTGATCTAAAAGATGATCTCAAAGATAGATCTCAAAAATCCCACTGGACATTATTTTTCTAAAAATGTAATTATCTGCAATTGTTACCAGTTGCATCTGTTCTTCTTTCACTTGAGGCTGTACTCTCACATACCACCAACATAGCATAAAAAATACTAAAATGAATCCTACTCTATCTGTGAAAAGAACTTTTGACTCTAATAAAACCTGAAACCCCCCAGAGCGTCTTCTCAACAGTTAAGAGATGGAGATTTAGACAAACTGCCTAAGCGCAAACCACAGCATTACTACTTATTAGCTGTATAAGCATGGAACACTTACTTAATTTCCCTAAACTTCAGTTTCTTTTTTTCATATGTCAATTAAGAATAAAGTGAAATCTGCTACATGGAGTTACTATAGAGGCTCTATATAAATTGCTTACTACTGTGCCTGCAAGTAGGTAAGTATAAGTTTTATTAGAATAAAGGTCTAAAATTAACTAGCAAAATCAATCAATCCCTAACATTTATTGAAATAAGGGAAAATATTAGCCTTGAATGAAATAAGATGAAAAAATGTACAAAGGGGGGTAAAATGTATACATCAATACATGCTGATTTCCTCCTGGTCCTGTTTTCATATACATATGTATACATACAAACAAATAAAAATACTATTATTTTTACTATTTTACAGTATGCACTCTTATAAACTACTTAACGTCTTATATGGAATACAGAAGTATAAGGGAAGTATAAGGTTGGGGGAAAAATAATGTGGAAAGAAGACAGTAATAAAAGCTTATTAAATCAGATTTGTTTTGTCCACGAAGGCCAAAAGGAAAAGCTCAGGGAAGAATATGAGAAATAGTAGAATCTACACTTATTTTTAACCACAGGTCTAACTTTAATCCCAATGTATTTTTAAAAGCCAAAAATCAAAGAGCAATGTTTAAATTACTAAAGGTCTTTTGGGACAGAAGAGGATGAGACCTAAAAGTCAGGGAACACGGGACCTAGTTTCAGTTACACATAACCTGTGATCTCGGTCAGCAGTTCCCAAACACAAGTCTACATTTCAGTGGCCAACTGTTCAAGTTTCCAGTGATATGCAGCCAAATGAAAAAACTGGGTACCAGGGTGGATTTCTTTTTCTTTATACATTATACACTTTTTTAAAATTTAAGGACTATTCTTTCATTTTTGGTTTCAAAGTGTCTTTTATTTTTTTTAATGAAATTGTGATCGCAGAAGAAAGTACTTTTAAAGTTCTTATATGCTAAAGTGAAAAAGTCGGCTACTCTACAACAATCCTTTAATAAAATTCTTTTCTGGTCTATAAAATCCAAATAGTGTGAGAACCAATGACCTATATAAACATTAGGGTTCTTTACAGATTCAAATTTATATGAATCTGGTTAACCTTCATGTTCATTATAATTTAACTTTAATATCAAAGCGATATTACCTAAATGTAGTAGAATTCTTTTTATAATTCTTCTCCACTATAAAGGCAAATACTTTAATAAATGTTTATTCAATCTACCTTGCCTTCAAATTCAAACAGACCCCTGTTGACATAAAGAACAAAAAGAATTAATTTCCTAAATAGAAAAGATATCAATGAAAAGCAGAAGTCACATAGTTTCCATTAACTAAATATACTGTAATTGACTGAAGACATTTAGTAAATAGAAAATTATGTTAAAATGACCAAACATTATTAAAAACGTAGTGACAACAACTGTATATAGCATAGTAATGTATGCAAAGAAATTCCTGTTCTATGAGACTTCACATTAAAAATAACGTCACTTGTGGAAGCAGAAACGAACACTCAGAACACAATTAGACAGGGACTTCCCTGGTAGTGCAGTGGTTAAGAATCCGCCTGCCAGGCTTGCCTGGTGGCGCAGTGGTTGAAAGTCCACCTGCCGATGCAAGGGACACGGGTTCGTGCCCCGGTCCGGGAAGATCCCACATGCCGCAGAGTGACTAGGCCCAGGAGCCATGGCCGCTGAGCCTGCGCATTCGGAGCCTGTGCTCCGCAACAGGAGAGGTCACAACAGTGAGAGGCCCGCGTACCGTAAAAAAAAAAAAAAAAGAATCCACCTGCCAATGCAGGGGACATGGGTTCGATCGCTGGTCCGGGAAGATCCCACATGCCGCAGAGCAACTAAGCCCATGCGCCACAACTACTGAGCCTGCACTCTAGAGTCCGCGAGCCACAACTACTGAGCCTGTGTGCCACAACTACTGAACCCACGCGCCTCGAGCCCATGCTCCGCAACAAGAGAAGCCACCGCAATAATAAGCCCGTGCACCGCAACGAAGAGTCGCCCCTGGTCACCGCGACTAGAAAAAGCCTGCCCGCAGCAACTAAGACCCAAAGCAGGCAAAAATAAATAAAATAAAATAAATAAATTTATATAAAAAAACACAATCAGACAAAATTACCATCATATTTGGGGGGAGGGTCAATATTTGTACTCCCATACTGTAAGGATCTTATTAACAGTGATTGATAATGAAAATAAAATCAGCTTTAGAGGATTTGGATGATATTAGGCAGAATTCATACAAAGACTCAAATGAAGAGCTCCAAAAAAACACAACTAACTTAACTTTCTCTTTCCTTCTTCTCCCATATAGAGTACTTGTAAAGTTTTCAATTTTTTGTGTCTAAAGTTTTTGGAGCTATGCCCTACTGCTCCAAGTATTACTTAAATGTGTATCTTCTGCCTTCCACTTCCTTCTGTGCTCCAGTCTAATTATCTCCTACTTCTTACTTGTACAGTTCCACCTGCATATACTACAGAAAACTCAAACTCAACAAACCTAACACCAAATCAATTAAAATCCATACTGTTCTTTTTCCTATTTTCTGTATATCAATTAATTAATGAGATAGCCATTAATCCATGATAAAGGCTTTGGAATTACTCTGAATCCTTCCATTACTACCAGTATCCAAGAGATAATCAACCACTGTAGATTCCTTCATTTATCTTTCTAATCTATCCCTTACTTTTCTAAACACACTGTCTCTTCTTTAAGTCAAGTTTACCATAGTTGTTCTAAAGATTATTTTTCTAAAAATCTCTTGCCTCCCTACTCAATTAAACAGTCTTCAGGCTTATCTAATAATGTCAATTCCTGCTTTAAAGTCTTCTGAGGTTTTACAGTGACTGGAGGTTGAGATTAAAACCTTGAAAAGCACATCTCAGTCAGTGTGGCTCCTTTACCATCAAACTTCATCTCTCAAAACTACACTTCACCCCTTCACCCATGGTTGCCGTGTAGCCTAATTTAGGGAGCCACACTGAAATATACATTGTTCCCTAAAACGTGCCTTGTTCTTTACATTTCCATGCTTTATATATATCCTGCTGTCATAGGCTAGAATGTCCTTACCCACCTAATTATTAACTCCTAAAATCCTTTGAGACTCAGCTTAAATAAACCAAACACCTTGCCAAAACTGAAATTACTTTCTCCCTCATCTTTTTTCCTCTATACTTTGTGAATACTGCAGAATATTCATTGGTTTCTCTCCCCCAACTAAGATGAGTTCCTCAATGTCAAAGCTAATTGCACATTCCTACTATGTTTCCAATGCACCTGATATGTACTTAAGAGACAAACAGACAATCCCTACTCTAAATGAAGCTTACTGCCTAATGAAAGTGACAGGTAGAATTCTGGCATAGTATACGGGCAGAGAAAGCTTCCTTGTACTTGAACTGAGATCTGAAGAATTATGAGGAGCTGGGGCAGAAGGGGAAGTTTCTTATATGTGTGAATATAAGAAACTGAAAAGCCAGCAGAGCTGACATACGGAAACCATGTGGAAAGAACAAGATAAGGATGGAGATTAAAAACTGACATTATCATACTAGATCTTATAAACCAAGTTAGAGATATTCGTCTTCATCTTAAGAATAAGAATTTTTAAAGGGTTTTAAATAGGAAAGTAACATGACTAGAAAAAGAAACTAGAAGAAAATATAATAACTCTCTGGGTGAAATTATTTCCTTTTGTTCTTCAATAATTTCCTAATTTTCTACAACAAATGTTATTACTTTCTTAAAAGAAAAAAATATTTTAAAGTTTTTTAAACTTTATAGTTTAAAAGAGTTACTATAGAGTTATAGTAAATAAAAATCTTAATATAATACTTTTCAGAAAAATGTTAATTCTCGATTAATCTCAAATTTTCTTTGCAGTTTTAATTTTCTTTGTTCTAGGAGCCAGAAATGAAAGGATGAATAAGAAAACATATTCATGACTTGAGTCCTCACAAAGATTATACCATCAGGATACAGTGTAGGGAAAAGACATTGAACAGTTATTTAGAAGTGTGCTGAGTGCTGCAAAGGAAAATAATGGACCACTTTGAAAACATATAAGAGAAGTTAATCTACTTAACGAGTTGGGAAAAGAAATATAAAGTTGAGACCCAAATGAAGAAGACTGCCAGTTCCTGGTAAGACTGCAAACCAACAAAGACTGCTGTCTCTTTCCCTCCAAACTAACTTTTGATGTGCTACAAAAATAAGACCGAGTCTGAGAGAATTCCTAAAACTACCCTAACATAAATATACCACAATGAAAATCTGTATAAACTATGAGTAAGTCCTGGAGAGACAAAAGACAGCTAGGTCTCAGTATAGATAAGAACTGGAGCCACCAACGGTCAGGGATGGGGTGCAGGGAACAGACAGATAAAGGGAGTCAAAAGGTACCAACTTCTAGTTATAAAAGAAATAAGTCATGTGGATGCAACGTACAGCGTGTTGACTATAGTTAACAACACTGTACTGCATATATGAAAGTTGTAAAAGAGTATATCTTAAAAGTTCTCATCACAAGAAAAACAGAAGTACTGTAACTATGTATGGTGATAGATGTTAACTAGATTTATTGTGGTGATCATTTCACAATACATACAAATAATCAATATGTTGTACTACTGAAACGAATATAATGTTGTATGTCTATATATATTTTTACTTAGGTACATTTATATATAATATATATAGTAATTATATATATATAAAGTCATGAATAATTCATATATAAGTTTGTAAGTAACTGCAAACTTCTCATAGTATGGAAAGTTACGCTGAATGACAAATATCTCAAATGCATCACTTCATAGTTTTAGAATACATATCAACAATAGTAATTTATATTGCTTACTCATCTGTCTATCTCCATAACTGATGGCTTCCGCCAGCGGGCTCCATCCCTGAGCATTTTTCACCTTTACTGGAGCATTGTGAGCCAAAAGTAAATGGGCACATTCTGAAACATAAAATGGTGATAACGTCAAACATCATGCAATTTTCAGAATCTCTAAATTAAAAACTCATGTAAAAATTCAAGAAATCAAGTTAATATAATAGATCTATGATATAAGCACTATACTATAGAGAATTAAATAATTTTTAAAATTCCTCTGTATCTAAACCAGGTTATTTCAGATCCTTAGATTCAAGAAGTATCTATTCTATTACCTAAAAATAAATTGGATCTCTCTGCAAAGAAACTATTATATTCCCTAATAATTGTTCCCAAGGGTATTTTGAGAATGTTTCCATACTATAAAAGACAGCCCAAGAAACTCAAGAGTAATTTACCTAAAAATTTCACTATCTAATAAGACCTTACATCTGCAAGGTCAAATGGAAAGCTCATTATTTATTTCAGGGGGAAAAAAAGTATTTTCAAAAAGAATCACTAACGTTTCCACAAACCCTTATTTTTCAAATTTTACAATTCGTTTATTTCAGAAAAACACCCAAAAGGGACAAAAACTTGTTTATGACTACAAGGACAAATCCAGACAGTCCTTCTAGTAATCAAAGTCTAAGGTATACTAAGCTCACCATCCAGCCCAGGCACAGTCACCCACTGAAACTTAAGGGGAACACTGAAGACTGTGCCACAAGTGACAGAATAATTACATAAAAGAAAAATCTATGCTCAGGACACAGTTCCCAAACCACTGGATTTTTCTTTTATCTCTTCCTTTTTTTGGGGGGTGGGGGGCCGTGTCCTGAGGCATGCAGGATATTAGTTCCCGGACCAGGGATCAGGGATCGAATCCATGCCCCCTGCAGTGGAAGCATGGAGTCCTAACCACTGGACTGCCAGGGAATTCCCAACACTGGATATTTTAGGAAGCACCGAGGGATCTCTGGCCTCTTGGATCTTGGCTGATAAGTTCAGGGGTGGTGGGTATAAATCATTGCTCTCAACGTTTCCAGTTATTCATGGGAAAATTAATGTACATAGTACTTCATCAATGGATTGTGTGGTTTCAATTGTTTTGTTTATATAGTATTTACTGTTCCCAACTCCAGTGGCTGGGGCATATCCAACATTTAACACAGGTAATCTGAACTGAGTCTTAAAATAAGAACATAATATATGACAACATGAATAAAAGTTTCCTACAGAAGAAAAAAAGTCTAAGGTATAGACACTTGTATACATTGAGGAAATTTGTTTTTAATTCAAAATAAAAAGCATATTAACAGGCAGAAAAACATTTGAAACCAAGGCTCATGGGAAATTTAGGATGGCTATCCAACCTAAATTCCCTAAATGAATGATTCATTCATTCAATCAGTCTTTTAGCAAATATTTACCAAGTGCCTATTATATGCCAATTCTAAGTACTAGGTCCTGGATATAAGTAGTGAGAAGAAAGATTAGTGAGAAGAAAGATAAGATCTTGCTATCAGAGAGCTCCAATGTTAAAATATAATTAAGTAAACTAATAAATAAAAAAAGCTAATGATAAGTGCTCTGAAGGAAATAAAGGTGTTATGACAGTTGTAATGTAATACAAGTGAGCTGAGGTGGAGGAAGAATGGCACTGTTTTAGCACTATTCCTAGTAATAGAAGGAACATCTACATTAGCAGGAAATTATATCAGAATAAAGTAAAATAAATACAGAAATTTCACAAAGGTGTTTAAGAAAGTCTGCTAGTAATATATAAGAATATATGTACATGAACATTTATTTTAGGATTATTTATAATGCAAATATGAATATCCATCATGGGAGAATGACTGACTAAAGCATGATGCTTCTATATCCCTGGACTAATAACATGCAGGCATTTTTAAAGAATAGAGTCAAAAGGACAAAGGAGCCACCTGAATGGTCAGCCATTGGCCAAATTTGAGAAACTGAGCATCAAAAAGAATAATGACTAGTTACAACACATTAAACAAAAAAAAACTGATAGGCCCATAATGACATCAAAAAATGAGAGGACAATGAGTTCTCCTTTATAGAAGAATGACTGCTAATAAATGTAGAAGAAATGATAAAACTAGAAAATCAGCAATAACAACAATGTAATAACTGATACAGGCAAAGGACCCCAATGAATGCTAAAGTCACTAGGTAAAAGGCTATGTGCTGGGAAATAAGATATTTACTTAAAGTATCATCCCAAGATTACTTAATAAAATGAAAAGTGTTCCTTTACAGTAGAGATAGCTGAAGATCATCATCTCAAACAAGTGATCAAAACTTAGTGGCAGGGCTTCCCTGGTGGCGCAGTGGTTGAGAGTCCGCCTGCTGATGCAGGGGACACGGGTTCGTGTGCCGGTCCGGGAGGATCCCACATGCCGCGGAGCGGCTGGGCCCGTGAGCCATGCCCGCTGAGCCTGTGCTCTGCAATGGGAGAGGCCACAACAGTGAGAGGCCCGCATACCGCAAAAAAAAAAAAAAAAACTTAGTGGCAGTAATAGTGGGATAACTTAAAATTATGTTTCCTAATGTGATACAATATAAAGTTCATAAGCCTCTGCAGTATTCTTTCCAGAAATGTTTAACCTGAATCTAATAAAGCATCGATACTTAATTTTTGATTCATAGAAAAAACAGAGTATAAGGAACAAGTTAAATAACATTATGAGAAAATAATCAGGCAAAACTGAGATGGGAGACATTCTACAAATTAACTGGGGAAGACACTTCAAAAAGTCAGGTACAAAGGAAGGGGGAAAAAAGGTGGGCAAACTTTTCTAGATTATCTGAAACAAACAACCAAATGTAATGAATGAATCCCAATCAGATCTTGATTCAATATAAAACACCGATAAAAGACATTTTTCGAACAACTGGAGAAATTTAAATATGGATTGGATATCAGATATTATAACAATATTATTATCTTTCTTAGGTGTGATAATGATATTTTGGTCATGATAGACAATGTCCTTATTCTTAGAGATGCATGCTGAAGTATTTGGTGGTAAAATGTCATGATGCTTACATCTAGTTTTCAAATGTTACAGCAAAAATAGTAAAAAAAAAAAATATATATATATATATATACACACATATAAAACACTAAGATAAAGAGAAAAATACAGCAAATGATAAAATGTGAACAATTATTGAAGCTAGGTAGAGAGTATTTGAATGTTCATAGTGATAATCCTTCAGTTTATCTGTATATCTGAAATTATTCATAATAAAGCATTGAAAGAAAAAAAGGAATAAAAAAGACAAATATTAAAAACAAGAATGAATTTAAGTCATCCCAATAGACTGAAAGAAATGTCTACATTGCACTGCTAAATCATATATCTGCTCAATGGAGAAGTATATTATGATCACATGTTTTTATAAAGGAATAAATAAAAACTACACATATGAATGTGTGTTTAGATACATACACACATATTTGTATATAATAATAAGCATGGAGAACAGTATGGAAGAATACCTAGCAGGCTGTTAACACGGATTACCATGTTTAATGGGAGAAGGGGGTTAATAGGGAGAGAAGATGATAGAGAGACCAGCTAAAAAGAATTTTTTTAATATATAAATAAATAAAATGGACCCTCTAGAAGACCTAAATAGACATTTCTCCAAAGAAGACATATAGATGGCCAAAAAACATGAAAAAATTAACATCAGTAATTATTAGAGAAATGCAAATCAAAACCACAATGAGGTATCACCTCACACCGGTCAGAATGGCCATCATCAAAAAATCTACAAACCATAAATGCTGGAGAGGGTGTGGAGAAAAGGGAGCCCTTTTGCACTGTTGGTGGGAATGTAAATTGATACAGCTGCTATGGAGAACAGTATGGAGGTTCCTTAAAAAACTAAAAATAGAACTACCATATGACCCAGCAAACCCACTACTGGGCATATACCCTGAGAAAACCATAATTCAAAAAGACGCATGCACCCCAATGTTCACTGCAGCACTATCTACAATAGCCAGGACATGGCAGCAACCTAAATGTCCATCGACAGATGAATGGATAAAGAAGATGTGGCACATATATACAATGGAATATTACTCAGCCATAAAAAGGAACGGAATTGGGTCATTTGTAGTGATGTGGATAAACCTAGAGTCTGTCATACAGAGTGAAGTAAGTCAGAAAGAGAGAAACAAATATCGTATATTAGCGCATATATATGGAATCTAGAAAAATGGTACTGAGGAACCTATTTGCAGAACAGGAAAAGAGGTGCAGAAGTAGAGAACAGACTTGTGGACACAGAGGGAGAAAGGGAGGGTGGAACGAATTGAGAGAGTAGCATTGGCATATATACACTACCATGTGTAAAACAGCTAGTAGGAAGCTGCTGTACAGCACAGGGAGCTCAGCTCAGTGCTCTGTGATGACCTAGAGGGGTGTGACGGTGGGGGTTGGGGGGGTGCGGGGTGGGAGGGAGGCTCAAGAGGGAGGAGATATGGGGATATATGTATACGTATAGCTGATTCACTTTGTTGTACAGCAGGAACTAACACAACACTGTAAGGCAATTATACTCCCCCCCAAAGAAAAGAATCAAAAATAAATAAATAAATAAATACATAAATAAATAAAATGGACACTCTCCTAAAGAAACCTACCAGGGGGTTTTATGTAAATATGTGTTTGTGTGCATAAATAAAGAAGTAGGGGAACATGAACATGGATAGATATCTACAGACTTTGTATTTCATGATAAACTTTTGAGTGAAAGGAAAAACATGGCAAAGTACTAGATGCAGTGATTCAACTTAAGTAAAAACAAACTAAGCCCCTGTATTACAAGGAGGAAGGTGTGCAAGGATGCCCACTAGGCTATTAATGTTAATTACATCAGAAAAAATGTAGGCGAGATGATGCTTTTTATATACATCTTTATACTGTATTATTTCAATTGTTTCATCAAGCATGTATTAATAACCTAAAAATCATTAAAGAAAAAATATTAGTTTAAAAATATTGAAAAGGAAGATGCACAACAGTATCTAAAGCAATATACCAATTGCATAAACTAAGGTATAGAACTGGTATGATTTATATATACGTTAAAGATGTCAACCGTTTTCTCATACGCCACAGACCTTGCCACAGGCCTTTTGCTCACATCACAACTCAACTGATGTAGAAATGAGCAACTAACGAAAAGCCAGAAAATCATAGATATGCCATGATCTCTGACCTAGTCTCATACATTAAAAAAAAAAAAAAAAAAAAAAACTGGAACAATCAAATGCCTTCTCTCAGCAACTGTAACAATGAATAATAAGAAAAAAAGGTAGTTAACAATCAGGCAGTAAGGCTTAAAAATGCACAAATGCGCCACAAAGAAGTTATGACTTGAGGAGTCTAAACAAAATGAAATTATGATAAACAGAAATCACATATAAATATACCAGAGCTATACAGGTGACAAAATATAAAGAGAGTGAATGGGATAAATAGGACAACTGGGAACAAAACAGAATATTCAGAGAGACCCTTATGAAGATGAAAAATCAAACTAACTCTAGACTTATTTCAGAAAAAAAATGGAAAACTGCAGTTCCAAAAAATACTGATAATAAATTAAAAGTTGCAGCAACTGGTTTGAAGAATTTTTTCTGATGTCTAACCAAAAGAATAAGAATTAAAGGTTAGTTTTCTAGTTCACCTCCTAAAGATTCCTGAAATCTTTTAAGTATAATGTTTTTCTCCATTTCAATTCAAATCCATAGTTGAAAAACTTGCCAGCCAACATGGCAAACATGGTCAATAGACTCAGAAATTCAGAAAAAATCAGACTTCAGTGGTGAAAAATAAGGTTATTCAGTAGGTTAAGATGACTGAGAGAAGTAAATAAAGGTGTATAGGTCATAGGGTATCTCTCTTTAATTCAGTCAACAAATATTTGAATACCCTGGGAATTTTTACTATGTTTACAAACAAGTATACAAACAGAAAGTGCCCTTCAACAGTGAAGTCACTAAAGGCATAGTATATCTCTAAAGGAGAAGATAAAAGTGGCACAGATTGAACAATGGTATAATGTAAAATTGCTTTACAGAATTAAGTATAAGGTAGATGTTTTATCTTCCACTACATATTTCAATCTCACTCCTATGCAACCAAATATCAAAAACATTAAAAGGTCAAAAAAAAAAAGCAAAAAAGAGTATTCAACTGGAAAAATGTAAATGGAAAATTATAAATTGATCAGTATATTAATGGCTGTACCTACTCTACATGAAAAAGACTCAGGAAGAGCAAATACTGACATTATTTGCAGATCCTGAATCATCTAACCAAGTTTTTCCCAAAATATGTTCCACAGAACTCTAGTTTCTCAAGATACTTGTGAAAAAGAGAAAATACCAAATAACTATTGGAACAATGACTCTATATCCAACAGAAGGCTCCAATTCAGAAGGTCACAATGAATATTAGCATATCAAAAGTTCTAAGAAGGTCCACAATAAACAAAACTGCTTAAAACTTAACTCACTATTTTCAGAATCAATTTGACCTGGAAGCACTATTTTCCTCTAAAAACTTATCAATATCCAATGAAACTAATTCTGTGAAACACATTTTGGATAGGCTGATACAATCCTATGATGAAACCTAACAATACCGCTACTGAAAATTAGAACACTTAGACCTAGGATGGTAGATATGTTTAATTTCATATTCGAATCCTGGCAAATCCAAATTTACTATTAAAGTGCTAAATTTAGAATAGCAATCAGACTTGGCATCAAATTAACTATATTTTCCACAAAAACAGGAGGGAAGCACGATGCATGTTAGCTAACTTTGATTTAGACCATTTCCTTTTTGAATGGTTCACAGTGAAAAGAGAGCAAGGCAATTCACCATAATAATCAGGAATCCAGGCTCTGGAACAAGATACTCCAAGTTCAAGTCAAAACTCTGCTACTTTACCCTGGGAAAGTTGCTTAACTTCTTAGAGCTAACTTTTTCATCTGTAAAATAGGGATAATAATAGTATCTTCCTCACATGGTTGTTGTGTTAAATGAGTAAACATACATAAAGCCCTAAAAAAAGCATCTAGCATATTGTAAATGAATACATTCCAGTTATTTTCTAAAGTTCTGATCGAATGTTCTTTGAAAGAAAGCATAAGTTTTAACTGCTCAAATTTAGCTAACTATATCTGATATCTTTTCACCAAGGTATCTATACTAAAGATGACTATCATTGTCTGCCCTGCCAATATTCCTGATAAACATTCTTCCTCTGTATTCCTGATTTCCTCTTCTACTCCCAACTCTCACCCAAAGCCAGCGAAGCTAAAGCTAACTTCACAGGAGTAAATATATATCCCAAAGTCAATTCATGAGATTGCCAGTCACTCATCACTGTGACTTGGCTCGACATGAACTAGACCAATCAAACTTTTTGTTCAGAAATTCAGGAACCTAAGAAACTGAACTACTTGGTGGAGAACACTGAAATCAAAGCCTTGAAGGTTTAGGAACCTAGAACAGTTATTTTGGGTCATGGTCAATTTCACTAAACAGAAAAGTCAATCAAGAAAAGGGAGAATATTATATATATATATATATATATATATGTGTGTGTATATATATATATATACACACACACACACACACATATATATATATATATATAAAGAAAGAACAGCAGATGCACCATAAGAGACAGACAGATGATAGATGATTGATAGTTGGACAAATAGATGGATATACATATCCGAAGGGAAGGAAGGAGGAAGGTTGCGGGGGTGAGGGTGGGGGCGGGGGAAGGAGGGAAGGAGGGAGACAGAGAGGAAGGAAGGGAGGAAGGACAGGGGGAGGGAGGAAGGGAGAAAGGATCGCTGATCTCCCAGACTGTCTTGGTTACTACTCTTCCTGAGACATAGCTAGTCCCCATAGCTTGAATTTCTATAATATGTAGCACCTTAATGAATCTCTCTTTACTTAAAAGTTACTTGACTGGGCTTCCCTGGTGGCGCAGTGGTTGGGAGTCCGCCTGCTGCTGCAGGGGGCGCGGGTTCGTGCCCCGGTCCGGGGGGGTCCCGCGTGCCGCGGAGCGGCTGGGCCCGTGAGCCGTGGCCGCTGGGCCTGCGTGTCCGGGGCCTGTGCTCCGCAGCGGGAGAGGCCCGCGTACCGCAAAAAAAAAACAAAAGGTTACTTGACTGAGTCTCTTCCTTGTAAGAAGGAGAAAAAAAATAACATAACTAAATAAAGAAATAAAGATTTGAGCCCCCAATTTATGTAGTATTAAATTTCCTACAAATCATATGCTTCACCTAAGCACAAGAACTTAATAAAACCAAACCAACAAAAGAATTTTTTTTCAACAAAGCAAGTTCTAGTAACATCCTTCAGATCATCATACATTCAGATCAAATGTTTACAGCAACAGCCACATCACACTATATAACAATAATAGATGTTCATAATGATACAGCTAGATCATCAGAAAAGTGTTAACAAAAATTAGCCTGTTTAAAAATTCAAGAGTATATGTTTTCCAAAGATTTTTATCAAACACATCCAAAATTTAAAAATCTAGCACTCAAAAGGTTGCCAATCAGCTATCTGGAATCCTCACTTTCCAGGGTTACTGGGAATCCAGATAACTAAGACTTATTGCATCTAGGAATAGCCTTAAAAAGTAGATCTTTTAAATCACCTGTCTATGAGTTGTTGCTTTCCTTTTTTCTTTTTGGAGAATAAATAAGTACTAACTTTTTATTATCATCTACCATAAAAAATCTAGACTTATGAGTTTAGATATATAAAATAGTCCATATTAAAGAATCTTATAAAACTCTTTGAATATTAAAAGTATTACAATAATTAATAAAACTTAATATTTGGAAACAAGAGTCTCCTGAAATTATACTTCCTTGATAAAATAACCAAACAAGAAAAAAAAAAAAGCTTCAAAAGGCATAAAGATTAGTATAAGACTTCCACTAATTCTTTGAAAAAAGTGCTATGAAAAATGAGAAAGTATTTGTGTTTTTTAATATACTGAATCCTAAACTCAATTAGCACATCAAATAATCAGGCAAATTTTTTAAAACTCAAAACGTAAAACTCATCTTAAAATATTTAAACTGACTATACATGAGTGAAGTTAAACAAAAAAAGAACATATTTACTAACCTTTATTTCCTAACATCACAGCAAGATGTAAAGGAGTGTTTCCTAAAACAAAAGCAAAAATAAATTAAATTAGTGTAGAAACATCAGAAAAATTATTTTAAGGTGGTTTCAGCTCCTTCAGAAATTTCACTGACAAATTTTAAGCAAAAATAATGTGACCACAAAATGATCCTGCTTATGTGGCAAAGTGAGGGTCAGAGGATGCCATGCTTTCTAAACACAAGGTATCTTACTCCTCTTCCCCCCACCTCCCGTAAAAGGTTTCCATTTTGCTTTTGGGATTTCTTCTCCAAACAGATGTCAGATTCCTTTGCTGCTAATTTCTCTGTTATATCAATCTTTGTTCATTCATCACACAATTTAAGTACCTTACTATATATATACTCATCCTTGCTCATAAATATCAATAAGTCCCAATCCCAGTCCTCAAGTTTTAATAAATAAAATGAAAACACTAACTGGAAAAAATATATGCACCCCCCATGTTCATTGCAGCGTTATTTACAACAGCCAAGATATGGAAACAACCAAAGTGTCCATCAACAGATGAATGGATAAAGAAAATCAGTGTGTGTGTGTACACACACACACACACACACAGTGGAATATTATTCAGCCATTAAAAAAAAGAATAACATCTTGCCATCTGTAACAACAGAGATGGACCCTGAGGGCATTATGCTCAGTGAAATAAGTCAGATAAAGACAAATATTGTATTATCTCATTTATATGTGGAATCTTTTAAATATATATGAATATATATATATATATATATATATATATATATATATATATATATACTGAGAATGAACTGGTGGTTGCCAAAGGTGGAGAATGGGAGGGTAGGCGAAATGGGTGAAGAGAATCAAAAGGTACAAACTTTCAGTCAAAAAAATGCCACAGGGATGTAATATACAGCATGACTATTATTATACTGCATGTTAGAAAGTTGCTAAGAGTAGATCTTAGAAGTTCTCATCACAAGAAAAAAAAATATTTTGAATTATGTATGGTGACGGATATTAACCAGACTTCTTGTGGTAATCATTTCACTATATACAAACATGAAATCATTGTTATACACTTGAAAGTAATAAAGTGTTGTATGACAATTATACTTCAACTTAAAATAAAAGTATATTGCAAAGATAAACAATTTCTTCTGTCTCAAAATGCTAAATCCTAGGTGGGTCTGTAGAAGATACACATTTTCTGTTTTACTAAAAACAGTACCTTGTTAATCTAAACATTTATTTTGTTTCTGATCAGCTCCAGAAAAAAAGAAAAGAAATCCACATGTATAAGTATCAATTTCCAATTTTATTGGTCTAGAATAAGATCATCTTCCACCTTTTCTAAATATTGAACTATTTTCATAAGTTTGCATTCACATTCTACGACAATTTATCAAAACCAAAAAGCAGTCATAAAAAGTAAACAAACTTGTTGACAAATTGGTGCCAGAAACAAAAGCTCAACACTATGCCAAAACCAAAACCTTTACTTCGGATTATCATTCCTAATTCCCACCTCTTTTCTAGTTTAAGTTCTCATCACCTTACCTGAATATCTACTGCAACAACTTTCAAGTCTCCCTGCCTCAAGTTTTGCCCCATTTCAATCTCCTCTCTATATTGGAATAATAATTTTAAAACAAAAACTTGACCATGTTACACTTAAAAGGCTGGAAGTGGTCCATATTTTATCCTTAACATGGCATAAAAGGTTCTTGAGATATGTCCTTACCTTCCTTTCTTCTCCTATTTTCTTCTTTACCCTGTATTTCACCTGAACTGCATACAATAAATTCTCCAATAAGCCAGGTTCTCGATATTCACACATTTTATTAATCCTTCCTAAATATTCCTTCCCGATCTGCCTGGCAAGTTAATACTCACCTTTTAGGGCTTAGCTCAAACATCACCTATTCACTGAAGTCTTCTCTAGACAATCAGATGTTCCTCTGCACTGCTCCCAAAGCTCTCTATACCCATCTTTTTATTGCAGCACTTTTCACACTAAACTGTACTTTAAATTTTTTGTGTAAACATCTGTCTCCTTCATTAGACATTAACCTCAGGATAACTAGATACATATTTTGTTCATTTATGTATATGAAATGCTTCCAATACACATCTAACATTCAAAATAGTCAATAAGCATTCGTGAATGAAGGCATAAGAAAAAGTTCTGACTATAGAGACAAACCTTAAAAATATCAAATAGTTACAGAAACCTGATCACTAAAACGCGACAGCCATTACCTTAGGCAAGGGTTGCAAACTCAAATGTTTCCATAATTAAGTAATGTAATTGTAAAACTTTTGGTGTTATTTTTCCTAAATGTTTACACGAATACACTTGTAAAACCATCTAGCCTTGGAGTTTCCTTTGAGTGAACATTTTTATTACGGATTCATTGTCTTTAATAATAACAAGAGTACTTATGTTTTCTAATTCCTTTTTGTGTGCATTTTGACAAATTAAATTTTTCAGGGATTCTGTCCATGTCATATAAATTGCCACCTATTGTCATACATTTTGTTCACAATATCCATGATTTTTTAATGACATTAAAATTTATGCAGATGCCCCACTTTTCATTCATATTTGTTACTTGTGTTTTTTCTTTGATCAGTCTGAGGTTCATTAATTTTATGCACTTTTTTAAAGAACAAAGTTTTGGCATGTTGCTACTTAATGTCTGTTTTAATTCAATAATTCTTGCTCTTTTATTACTTCTTTTCTTCTACGTTATTTGGGTAAAATAGACTCAACTTGGGAAATAAAGCAAGTTAAGTTGTTCTTTTTCTAATTTCTTGAAATAGATTCTTAAATGTTTGATTTTTTTACCATTTCCTAGTATATTTACCTTTTTATTAATAATTTCTAGTTTACTTACACTGTGATCAGAGAACAGACTCAGTATAATCTCAATGAAACATGTTGAGAGTTGCTTTATGGTCAAGTTTGGTCAATTTTTGTAAATGTTTTCTGTAACCTTGAAAAGAACATGTATCTTAAGGGTTTTGGGTACAGCATTTCATATAAACCTACTAGATCCAGTTTGTGTTGTTCATATCTTTTATATCCTTACTGGTTTTTTGTCAGCGTGTTAAAGAAAGAGGAATGTTAAAAATATCCCACTGTAATTGGGGGTTTCTATGTCTTCTTGTACTTCTAGCAACTTTGCTTGATATATTTTCAGCTATGTTACTAAGTACAAATCAAATCCTCATACTTTCCTAGTTCAACAAATGATTTTCATCTTGAAGCACCTCTCTTTATCTCAGATGTTTTCTGCTTTAAAACCTACTATGATGTTAATATAACTATTCCAAATTTTTTGATTGATATTTACATGGAATACATTTTTCACTCCTCTCACTTTCAATATTGTTATATTTCAGATGTGTTTCCAACTGTATGTAGTTGGGTGTTTTTTCATACAGTAAGCTAATATTTGTCTTTTAACCAGAGCATTTAATCCAGCCTCATATGTTATACTTACTGATATTATTGGAGTTTAAATCTACCATCCAGCTTTGTGCTTTCTATTTGTCCTGCTGGTTCCATGTTCCTTTTTCTCATCTTTCTTACCTTCTTCTAAATTGATTATTTTCATTATTCCATTTTGGTTTTTTATCTGTGGATGGAAGGTATATATTTTTTTTATTTTACTATTCTTTTAGTAGTTATCCTAGAGATGCACTGTCCCATATGGTAGCTACATGTGGTTACCGAGTATTTGAAATGTGGCTAGTCTGAACTGAGATGTGCCATAAGTGGGATTTTGAAGACTTAGTATGAAAAACAAGAATGTAAAATATCTCAATAATGTTTTATATTGATCATCATGTTAAAATAATGTTTTGGATATTTTGGGTTAAATAAAATGTACTATTAAAATTAATTTCACCTACTTCTATTTTATGTGGCTATTAAAAAACTTAGTTATAAATGTGGCTTGCATTGGCTTTCTATTAGACAGCACAGCTCTAGAGTTTACAATATGCATCCTTGATTTATCAAAGTCTAATGTTAAATGGCACATTCCCTTCTTGAGAGCAAGTCATTGACCTTAGAACACTAACTTCATTCCCTCCATCCAGATTTATATGCTGTTATCTAGTGCCATGAGTCTTTATTTGTACCTTATAGAATCAATATTCATTTAAGATTTCTTACCACTTTTGTTGCTCTTCATTCCTTCCTACCTCTCTAGCCTTCCATTAGAATCATTTTTCTTCTATCTGAAACACATCCTTCAGTATTTCTTTTAGTGGTGGTCTGATAAGTGAATTCTCTTAGGTTTTTGATTGTAAATGTTTATTCAACTTCGGAGGATATTGTACAGGGTATATAATTCTTGATTGGCTGTTATTTTCTTCAGTATTCTATGTAGTCTTATGGTTTTCTTTTTTGTTGAGAAGTCAGCTGTAGGAATTTCTACTGATCCTTTTAAAGTAATGTGACTTCTCTGGCTGCATTTAAGATTGTTTTTTCAGCCATTTCACTCCAATGTGGAATCCTTTTTTATTTTACTTGGGTTGGACTTGTTAAATCTCTGAATTGGTGTCTTTCATCAATTTTGGAAAATTCTCAGCAACTGTCTCCTCAAATATTGCTTTAGCCCCATATTCTCTCTCTTCTCTCCTGGGGTTCAATTAACATAGAACTACTCTTACCATTTTTAATTTTTAAAAAATTTCTTTCCCTTTTTCATTGTAGATATTTTCTCCTGACATATTTCCAAGATCATGAGTTCTGTCTTCTTCAGGATCTAAACTGTATTAAGCCCATTTATTTAGTTTTTAATTCAGTTATTATATATTTCCATTTGAGAATTTCTATTGAATTATTTTCCAAATATGTTACTTCAATTTTCATAATTTCCAGTTCTCCACTAAAATATTCAAACTTGTCTCTCATCCCCCAAGAACATAATAAACATTGTTATTTAAAGTCTCTGTCCATACAAACTACTATATATAAAATAGATAAACAACAAGGTCCTACTGTATAGCACAGAGAGCTATAC